AGTGCCGCCTATCAGTGCCAGTCAGTGCCGCCTATCAGTGCCTGTCTGTGCCGCCTATCAGTGCCAGTCAGTGCCGCCTATCAGTGCCTCCTCATCAGTGCCGCCTATCAGTGCCTGTCTGTGCCGCCTATCAGTGCCTGTCTGTGCCGCCTATCAGTGCTGCCTTTCAGTGGCCATCAGTGATGCCTGTCAATGCCCATCAGTGCCTCCTCATCAGTGTCCATCAGTGCCTCCTCATCAGTGTCCATCAGTGCCGCCTCATTAGTGTCCATCAGTGAAGGAGAAAAATCACTTATTTACAAAATTTTTATAACAAAAACTAACAAAAAAAAAAACATTTTTTTTTTCAAAATTTTCTGTGGTTTTTGGTTTGTTTTAAGAAAAAATAAAAATCCTCGAGGTGATGAAATACCACCAAAATAAAGCTCTGTCACACAAAAAAATGATAAAAATGTCATCTGGGTACAGTGTTGCATGACCGCGCAATTGTCATTCAAAGTGTGATAGTGCTGAAAGCTGGAAATTGGCCTGGGCAGGAAGGGGGTAGAAGTGCCCTGTAGGCAGGAAGGGGGTAGAAGTGCCCTGTAGGCAGGAAGGGGGTAGAAGTGCCCTGTAGGCAGGAAGGGGGTAGAAGTGCCCTGTAGGCAGGGAGGGGGTAGAATTGCCCTGTAGGCAGGAAGGGGGTAGAAGTGTCCTGTAGGCAGGAAGGGGGTAGAAGTGTCCTGTAGGCAGGAAGGGGGTAGAATTGCCCTGTAGGCAGGAAGGGGGTAGAAGTGTCCTGTAGGCAGGAAGGGGGTAGAAGTGTCCTGTAGGCAGGAAGGGGGTAGAAGTGTCCGGTGGGCAGGAAGGGGGTAGAAGTGTCCTGTAGGCAGGAAGGGGGTAGAAGTGCCCTGTAGGCAGGAAGGGGGTAGAAGTGCCCGGTGGGCAGGAAGGGGGTAGAAGTGTCCTGTAGGCAGGAAGGGGGTAGAGAAGTGTCCTGTAGGCAGGAAGGGGGTAGAAGTGCCCTGTAGGCAGGAAGGGGGTAGAGGTGTCCTGTAGGCAGGAAGGGGGTAGAAGTGTCCTGTAGGCAGGAAGGGGGTAGAAGTGCCCTGTAGGCAGGAAGGGGGTAGAAGTGTCCTGTAGGCAGGAAGGGGGTAGAAGTGCCGGTGGGCAGGAAGGGGGTAGAAGTGCCCTGTAGGCAGGAAGGGGGTAGAAGTGTCCTGTAGGCAGGAAGGGGGTAGAAGTGTCCTGTAGGCAGGAAGGGGGTAGAAGTGTCCTGTAGGCAGGAAGGGGGTAGAAGTGTCCTGTAGGCAGGAAGGGGGTAGAAGTGCCCGGTGGGCAGGAAGGGGGTAGAAGTGCCCTGTAGGCAGGAAGGGGGTAGAAGTGCCCTGTAGCCAGGAAGGGGGTAGAAGTGCCCTGTAGGCGGGAAGGGGGGGGTAGAAGTGTCCTGTAGGCAGGAGGGGGGTAGAAGTGTCCTGTAGGCAGGAAGGGGGTAGAAGTGTCCTGTAGGCAGGAAGGGGGTAGAAGTGCCCTGTAGGCAGGAAGGGGGTAGAAGTGCCGGGTGGGCAGGAAGGGGGTAGAAGTGTCCTGTAGGCAGGAAGGGGGTAGAAGTGTCCTGTAGGCAGGAAGGGGGTAGAAGTGCCCGGTGGGCAGGGAGGGGGTAGAAGTGCCCTGTAGGCAGGAAGGGGGTAGAAGTGCCCTGTAGGCAGGAAGGGGGTAGAAGTGCCCTGTGGGCAGGAAGGGGGTAGAAGTGCCCTGTAGGCAGGAAGGGGGTAGAAGTGCCCTGTAGGCAGGAAGGGGGTAGAAGTGCCCTGTAGGCGGGAAGGGGGTAGAAGTGTCCTGTGGGCAGGAAGGGGGTAGAAGTGCCCGGTAGGCAGGAAGGGGGTAGAAGTGCCCTGTAGGCAGGAGGGGGTAGAAGTGCCCTGTAGGCGGGAAGGGGGTAGAAGTGTCCTGTGGGCAGGAAGGGGGTAGAAGTGTCCTGTGGGCAGGAAGGGGGTAGAAGTGTCCTGATAGGCAGGAAGGGGGTAGAAGTGTCCTGTAGGGAGGAAGGGGGTAGAAGTGTCCTGTAGGCAGGAAGGGGGTAGAAGTGTCCTGTAGGCAGGAAGGGGGTAGAAGTGCCCTGTGGGCAGGAAGGGGGTAGAAGTGCCCTGTAGGCAGGAAGGGGTAGAAGTGGCCCTGTAGAGCAGGAAGGGGGTAGAAGTGCCCTGTAGGCAGGAAGGGGGTAGAAGTGCCCTGTAGGCAGGAAGGGGGTAGAAGTGCCCTGTAGGCAGGAAGGGGGTAGAAGTGCCCTGTAGGCAGGAAGGGGGTAGAAGTGCCCTGTAGGCAGGAAGGGGGTAGAAGTGTCCGGGGGGCAGGAAGGGGGTAGAAGTGCCCTGTAGGCAGGAAGGAGGTAGAAGTGCCCTGTAGGCAGGAAGGGGGTAGAAGTTCCCGGTAGGCAGGAAGGGGGTAGAAGTGCCCTGTAGGCAGGAAGGGGGGGAAAGTGTCCTGTAGGCAGGAAGGGGGTAGAAGTGCCCAGGGGCAGGAAGGGGGTAGAAGTGCCCGGGGGGCAGGAAGGGGGTAGAAGTGCCCTGTGGGCAGGAAAGGGGGGTAGAAGTGCCCTGTGGGCAGGAAGGGGGTAGAAGTGCCCTGTAGGGAGGAAGGGGGTAGAAGTGCCCCTGTAGGGAGGAAGGGGGTAGAAGTGCCCTGTAGGCAGGAAGGGGGTAGAAGTGCCCTGTAGGCAGGAAGGGGGTAGAAGTGCCCTGTAGGGAGGAAGGGGGTAGAAGTGCCCTGTAGGCAGGAAGGGGGTAGAAGTTCCCGGTAGGCAGGAAGGGGGGTAGAAGTGCCCGGTAGGCAGGAAGGGGGTAGAAGTGCCCTGTAGGCAGGAAGGGGGTAGAAGTGCCGGTGGGCAGGAAGGGGGTAGAAGTGCCCGGGGGGCAGGAAGGGGGTAGAAGTGCCCTGGGGGCAGGAAGGGGGTAGAAGTGCCCTGTAGGCAGGAAGGGGGTAGAAGTGTCCAGTAGGCAGGAAGGGGGTAGAAGTGCCCTGTAGGCAGGAAGGGGGTAGAAGTGCCCTGTAGGCAGGAAGGGGGTAGAAGTGCCCAGGGGGCAGGAAGGGGGTAGAAGTGCCGGGGGGCAGGAAGGGGGTAGAAGTGCCCGGGGGGCAGGAAGGGGGTAGAAGTGCCCTGTGGGCAGGAAGGGGGTAGAAGTGCCCTGTAGGAGGAAGGGGTAGAAGTGCCCTGTAGGCAGGAAGGGGGTAGAAGTGCCCTGTAGGCAGGAAGGGGGTAGAAGTGCCCGGTAGGCAGGAAGGGGGGGAAAGTGTCCTGTAGGCAGGAAGGGGGTAGAAGTGCCCGGTGGGCAGGAAGGGGGTAGAAGTGCCCTGTAGGCAGGAAGGGGGTAGAAGTGCCCGGTGGGCAGGAAGGGGGTAGAAGTGTCCTGTAGGCAGGAAGGGGGTAGAAGTGCCCTGTAGGCAGGAAGGGGGTAGAAGTGCCCTGTAGGGAGGAAGGGGGTAGAAGTCCCCGGTGGGCAGGAAGGGGGTAGAAGTGCCCAGGGGGCAGGAAAGGGGTAGAAGTGCCCTGTAGGCAGGAAGGGGGTAGAAGTGCCCAGGGGGCAGGAAGGGGGTAGAAGTGCCCAGGGGGCAGGGGCAGGAAGGGGGTAGAAGTTGCCCAGGGGGCAGGAAGGGGGTAGAAGTGCCCTGTAGGTGAGGGGTTAAAGAAACTGGAGAGAATCGACGAATGGAGTGAGTGAACCTCAAATGAGGAGAGGGAGGTGAATGGAGGACCTGAAAAGGGCTTTAAGGGGATAGGAGGATTCTAGCTCCACCTCCTTTCTGTCCAGAGGAGAGGGAAAGTCCGATTCATGAAGCCAGGTTTCCCAGTATCTCTCTCACCCCCCCAGTATCTCCCCCCCCCCAGTATCTCTCTTCCTCCCCCAGTATCCCCCCCCAGTATCTCCCCCCCCCCCCGCCCAGTATCTCTCTCTCCCCCCCAGTATCTCTCTCTCCCCCAGTATCCCCCCCCCCCCAGTATCTCCCCCCCAGTATCTCTCTCTCTCTCTCCCCTCCTCCCCAGTATCTCCCCCCCCCCCCCCCCAGTATCTCTCCCCCAGTATCCCCCCCCCCTGTATCTCCCCCCCAGTATCTCTCCCCCGCCAGTATCTCCCCTCCCCCCCAGTATCTCTCTCTCCGCCCCTCCCCCCCAGTATCTCTCTCTCTCTCCCCTCCCCCCCCAGTATCTCTCTCTCTCCCCCCCAGTATCTCTCTCTCTCCCCCCCAGTATCTCTCTCCCTCCCCCCCAGTTATCTCTCCCCTCCCCCCCAGTATCTCTCTCTCTCTCTCCCCTCCCTCCCAGTATCTCTCCCCTCACCCCCCCCAGTATCTCTCTCTCTCTCCCCCCCAGTATCTCTCTCTCTCCCCTCCCCCCCAGTATCTCTCTCTCTCCCCTCCCCCCCAGTATCTCTCTCTCTCTCCCCCCTCCCCCCCAGTATCTCTCTCTCTCCCCTCCCCCCCCCCCAGTATCTCTCTCTCCCCTCCCCCCCAGTATCTCTCTCTCTCTCCCCCCTCCCCCCCAGTATCTCTCTCTCTCTCCCCTCCTCCCCAGTATCTCCCCTCCCCCCCAGTATCTCTCTCTCTCTCCCCTCCCCTCCCCCCCCAGTATCTCTCTCTCTCTCCCCTCCCCCCCCCCAGTATCTCTCTCTCTCTCCCCCTCCCCCCCCAGTATCTCTCTCTCTCCCCTCCTCCCCAGTATCTCTCTCTCCCCCCCAGTATCTCTCTCTCTTCCCCTCCTCCCCAGTATCTCTCTCTCACCCCCCCCAGTATCTCTCTCTCTCCCCTCCTCCCCAGTATCTCTCTCTCCCCCCCAGTATCTCTCTCTCTCTCCCCTCCCCCCCAGTATCTCTCTCTCTCTCTCCCCTCCTCCCCAGTATCTCCCCCCCCCCCCCCCAGTATCTCTCTCTTATCCCCCCCCCCCGGCAGTGTACTCCTCTCCCTCTGTATTCTGATTCTCTTCTTCTCCTCTGCCATCAGATCCTCGGCGGTCAGATATCGGGACCATGGCGGAGCCGGTCACACCTCTCCATCTCTACAACCAGCTGGCAGCCCAGGGGGACCGAGTCCGAGCCCTGAAATCACAGAAAGCTCCCAAGGTGTGCATACCTCTACTGTGACATCATCACTGGGTCTCTATGCTTCTCTATGCAATGCAGGCAGATCATGGCTGGTGGGAGGGGCCAGCAGGGGGCTGTACATAGCTAATAAAGGGGAGAGAACAATGTTCTTGGACAACTTGCCAGCCAGCTTGCTAACAACCGAATTGACCTGTCTAACAGTGTGCGTTTATAACTGGGGTTTAGTTAGCACACATTTGCAAATACATACGTAAGCCACAGAGCCACGACACGGCACCCCGATATTCTGTGGTCCTAACTCTACAATTTGTGAGTCCCCATAGTAGAGGCACATGCATTTAATGGATAGATCATGGGCAGGTGGACCTGCCCCCGGCCTCAGTCCTCTTCTCAGGAGCCCCCAGTCCTCTTCTCAGGAGCCCTCAGTCCTCTTCTCAGGAGCCCTCAGTCCTCTTCTCAGGAGCCCTCAGTCCTCTTCTCAGGAGCCCTCAGTCCTCTTCTCAGGAGCCCTCAGTCCTCTTCTCAGGAGCCCTCAGTCCTCTTCTCAGGAGCCCTCAGTCCTCTTCTCAGGAGCCCTCAGTCCTCTTCTCAGGAGCCCTCAGTCCTCTTCTCAGGAGCCCTCAGTCCTCTTCTCAGGAGCCCTCAGTCCTCTTCTCAGGAGCCCTCAGTACTCTACTCAGGAGCCCTCAGTCCTCTTCTCAGGAGTCCTCAGTACTCCTCTCAGGAGCCCTCATTACTCTTCTCAGGAGCCCTCAGTCCTCTTCTCAGGAGCCCCCAGTCCTCTTCTCAGAGCCCCCAGTCCTCTTCTCAGGAGCCCCCAGTCCTCTTCTCAGGAGCCCCCAGTCCTCTTCTCAGGAGCCCCCAGTCCTCTTCTCAGGAGCCCCCAGTCCTCTTCTCAGGAGCCCCCAGTCCTCTTCTCAGGAGCCCCCAGTCCTCTTCTCAGGAGCCCCCAGTCCTCTTCTCAGGAGCCCCCCAGTCCTCTTCTCAGGAGCCCCCAGTCCTCTTCTCAGGAGCCCCCAGTCCTCTTCTCAGGAGCCCCCAGTCCTCTTCTCAGGAGCCCCCAGTCCTCTTCTCAGGAGCCCTCAGTCCTCTTCTCAGGAGCCCTCAGTCCTCTTCTCAGGAGCCCTCAGTCCTCTTCTCAGGAGCCCTCAGTCCTCTTCTCAGGAGCCCTCAGTCCCTCTTCTCAGGAGCCCTCAGTCCTCTTCTCAGGAGCCCTCAGTCCTCCTCTCAGGAGCCCTCAGTACTCTTCTCAGGAGCCCTCAGTCCTCTTCTCAGGAGCCCCCAGTACTCCTCTCAGGAGCCCCCAGTCCTCTTCTCAGAGCCCCCAGTCCTCTTCTCAGGAGCCCCCAGTCCTCTTCTCAGGAGCCCCCAGTCCTCTTCTCAGGAGCCCTCAGTCCTCTTCTCAGGAGCCCTCAGTCCTCTTCTCAGGAGCCCTCAGTCCTCTTCTCAGGAGCCCTCAGTCCTCTTCTCAGGAGCCCTCAGTCCTCTTCTCAGGAGCCCTCAGTCCTCTTCTCAGGAGCCCTCAGTCCTCTTCTCAGGAGCCCTCAGTCCTCTTCTCAGGAGCCCTCAGTCCTCTTCTCAGGAGCCCTCAGTCCTCTTCTCAGGAGCCCCCAGTCCTCTTCTCAGGAGCCCCCAGTCCTCTTCTCAGGAGAGCCCCAGTACTCCTCTCAGGAGCCCCCAGTACTCCTCTCAGGAGCCCCCAGTACTCCTCTCAGGAGCCCTCAGTACTCCTCTCAGGAGCCCTCAGTACTCCTCTCAGGAGCCCTCAGTACTCCTCTCAGGAGCCCTCAGTACTCCTCTCAGGAGCCCTCAGTACTCCTCTCAGGAGCCCTCAGTACTCCTCTCAGGAGCCCTCAGTCCTGATGCAAGCAGTGGGCGGGCTTTTAGGAGGAATCATGCAAAAGGATTCCTAGGCAGGTTGTATTTGCATAGGTAACGCCCACATGTGACACTGAGCCACCATGATTGAAGGAACTGAAATCCAGTGAATGAAAGGGGCGGGGCCAGGGACATTCAAGCTGGGGAGGAAAGTGCTAGATGATGCTGGGCATCCTTCAGCCAGGAAATGAGGCGGAGCTCTATCTGATTGGCTGCGGCTTCTAATGCACATTGTGAGAAGCTCCCAGTGTGCAGTGACATCAGAGGAAGCCATTCCAGTCCAGGGGGAGGAGCCGGTACACCTGTGCAAGAATGAAGGGGAGGAGCCGGTACACCTGTGCAAGACTGAAGGGGAGGAGCCGGTACACCTGTGCAAGACTGAAGGGGAGGAGCCGGTACACCTGTGCAAGACTGAAGGGGAGGAGCCGGTACACCTGTGCAAGACTGAAGGGGAGGAGCCGGTACACCTGTGCAAGACTGAAGGGGAGGAGCCGGTACACCTGTGCAAGACTGAAGGGGAGGAGCCGGTACACCTGTGCAAGACTGAAGGGGGGGAGGAGCCGGTACACCTGTGCAAGGCTGAAGGGGAGGAGCCGGTACACCTGTGCAAGGCTGAAGGGGAGGAGCCGGTACACCTGTGCAAGGCTGAAGGGGAGGAGCCGGTACACCTGTGCAAGGCTGAAGGGGAGGAGCCGGTACACCTGTGCAAGGCTGAAGGGGAGGAGCCGGTACACACCTGTGCAAGGCTGAAGGGGAGGAGCCCGGTACACCTGTGCAAGGCTGAAGGGGAGGAGCCGGTACACCTGTGCAAGGCTGAAGGGGAGGAGCCGGTACACCTGTGCAAGGCTGAAGGGGAGGAGCCGGTACACCTGTGCAAGGCTGAAGGGGAGGAGCCGGTACACCTGTGCAGGGCTGAAGGGGAGGAGCCGGTACACCTGTGCAGGGCTGAAGGGGAGGAGCCGGTACACCTGTGCAGGGCTGAAGGGGAGGAGCCGGTACAAACCTGTGCAGGGCTGAAGGGGAGGAGCCGGTACACCTGTGCAGGGCTGAAGGGGAGGAGCCGGTACACCTGTGCAGGGCTGAAGGGGAGGAGCCGGTACACCTGTGCAGGGCTGAAGGGGAGGAGCCGGTACACCTGTGCAGGGCTGAAGGGGAGGAGCCGGTACACCTGTGCAGGGCTGAAGGGGAGGAGCCGGTACACCTGTGCAGGGCTGAAGGGGAGGAGCCGGTACACCTGTGCAGGGCTGAAGGGGAGGAGCCGGTACACCTGTGCAGGGCTGAAGGGGAGGAGCCGGTACACCTGTGCAGGGCTGAAGGGGAGGAGCCGGTACACACCTGTGCAGGGCTGAAGGGGAGGAGCCGGTACACCTGTGCAGGGCTGAAGGGGAGGAGCCGGTACACCTGTGCAGGACTGAAGGGGAGGAGCCGGTACACCTGTGCAGGACTGAAGGGGAGGAGCCGGTACACCTGTGCAGGACTGAAGGGGAGGAGCCGGTACACCTGTGCAGGACTGAAGGGGAGGAGCCGGTACACCTGTGCAGGACTGAAGGGGAGGAGCCGGTACACATGTGCAGGACTGAAGGGGAGGAGCCGGTACACCTGTGCCGGACTGGAGGGGAGGAGTGTAGGGAGGTATGTGGGCGGGCGGTACTCGTCGCCTCCCGGTTCTGTGGCTGTCGCTCCTCTTCATTGGTCCCCGGGGAAGTTGTTGGGGGTGGATCATAGAATGGACAGTGGAAGGGGGTTGGGTCTCGTGGGATTTCAGGGGCGGAGTCTCATTGTCCCCTCCCTCTCTGTCTCCATAGGACGAGGTTGATGCTGCGGTGAAGCTTCTACTTTCTCTGAAGTTGAAATATAAATCAGCCACCGGACAGGAATACAAGGCGGAGTCACCCCCGACAGACCCCGCCCCCTCCGCCAACAATGGTCTGCCCCCCGCCGAGGATGGCGATGACTTTGTGGATCCGTGGACGGTGCAGACCGGCAGTGCCAAGGGGTGGACTACGACAAGCTGATTGGTGAGTTCATGGACTGTGATGGGAGGAGCCTCTGCACTGTGCAAGTCGTCCCTGGAAACAGTCTGCAGAGCTCCCCCTAGCGGCCTGTGAGGGCGGCACATTCTACTCAGGACCCGTCACCCGCCCCGGGGATCACCCATACCCCCCCCCCCCCCCCCCACCACAGTCTGCCCTTGCGATCGGGGTCCTTCAAGTCCTCTCAGTCCTGCTCCCCCTCCCAGCAGAGGCTCCACTCCCCCCCCTCCCAGCAGGGGCACCGCCCCTCCGCTCCCCCCTCCCAGCAGGGGCACCGCCCCTCCGCTCCCCCCCTCCCAGCAGAGGCTCCGCCCCCCTCCGCTCCCCCCCTCCCAGCAGAGGCTCCACTCCCCCCCCCTCCCAGCAAGGGCTCCGCTCTCCCCAGCAAGGGCTTCGCCCCTCCGCTCCCCCCCTCCCAGCAGGGGCACCGCCCCTCCGCTCCCCCCTCCCAGCAGAGGCTCCGCCCCTCCGCTCCCCCCTCTCCCAGCAGGGGCAAAAACCGCCCCCTCCGCTCCCCCCCTCCCAGCAGGGGCACCGCCCCTCCGCTCCCCCCTCCCAGCAGAGGCTCCGCCCCTCCGCCCCCCCCCTCCCAGCAGAGGCTCCGCCCCTCCTCTCCCCCCCTCCCAGCAGAGGCTCCGCCCTCCTCTCCTCCCTCCCAGCAGAGGCTCCGCCCCTCCACTCCCCCCTCCCAGCAGAGGCTCCACCCCTCCGCTCCCCCCTTCCAGCAAGGGCTCCGCCCCTCCGCTCCCCCCTCTGTAACTCGTTACCTCCCCATCCATTATCCATTCACTGAGCAGGTTGCTGGTGTCCCCGATCCTCCTACTCCTGTGTTGGGGACACTCCCTTCTCTGTACAAATCGCTTTCCTTTATAAATAAAGCTTTGTTTGTTTTTTGTCAGTTCGGTTTGGGAGCAGCAAAATCGATGAGGATCTGATTGGTCGGATAGAGCGTGTCTGCGGTCACAAAGCCCACCACTTCCTGCGGAGGGGGATCTTCTTCTCTCACAGGTATGACTCCCCCCCCCCCCCCTTATCTGATATCTGCCCCCCCCCTTCCCTATAGTCTATCTGTGTCCCCCCCCCCCCCCCTTATAATCTGCTCTCTGTGTCTACCCCCCTATAATCTGCTTTGTGTCCCCCCCCCCCCTATAATCTGCTCTCTGTCCCCCCCCCCCCCCCCTTATAATCTGCTCTGTGTCCCCCCCCCCCTCCTTATCTGCTCTCTTTGTCCCCCCCCCCCCTATAATCTGCTCTCTGTGTCCCCCCCCCTTATAATCTGCTCTGTGTTTGTCCCCCCCCCTTATAATCTGCTCTGTGTCCCCCCCCTTATAATCTGCTCTGTGTCCCCCCCCTTATAATCTGCTCTGTGTCCCCCCCCCCTTATAATCTGCCCTGTGTCCCCCCCCTTATAATCTGCTCTGTGTCCCCCCCCTTATAATCTGCTCTGTGTCCCCCCCCTTATAATCTGCTCTGTGTCCCCCCCCCCTTATAATCTGCCCTGTGTCCCCCCCCTTATAATCTGCCCTGTGTCCCCCCCCTTATAATCTGCTCTGTGTCCCCCCCCTTATAATCTGCTCTGTGTCCCCCCCCTTATAATCTGCTCTGTGTCCCCCCCCCCTTATAATCTGCTCTGTGTCCCCCCCCCCCTTATAATCTGCTCTGTGTCCCCCCCCCCTTATAATCTGCTCTGTGTCACCCCCCCCCCCCCCCTTATAATCTGCTCTGTGTCCCCCCCCTTATAATCTGCTCTGTGTCCCCCCCCCCCCTTATAATCTGTTCTCTGTGTTCCCCCCCTTATAATCTGTTCTCTGTGTCCCCCCCCTTATAATCTGCTCTCTGTGTTCCCCCCCTTATAATCTGTTCTCTGTGTCCCCCCCCCCAGGGATATGCACCAGATCCTGGACTCGGTGGAGAAGGGGAAGCCGTTCTATCTGTACACAGGAAGGGGGCCGTCCTCAGGATCCATGCATGTCGGCCATCTTGTCCCATTCATCTTCACCAAGTATGTCCCCTGTGACCCCCCCCATCTCGGGTATACAAGAGACCCCCCCCCCCCATCCCGGTGTATACAGGAGACCCCCCCCCCCCCATCCCGGTGTATACAGGAGACCCCCCCCCCCCCCCCCCCATCCCGGTGTATACAGGAGACCCCCCCCCCCATCCCGGTGTATACAGGAGACCCCCCCATCCCGGTGTATACAGGAGACCCCCCCATCCCGGTGTATACAGGAGACCCCCCCCCATCCCGGTGTATACAGGAGACCCCCCCATCCCGGTGTATACAGGAGACCCCCCCCCATCTCGGTGTGTATACAGGAGACCCCCCCCATCCCGGTGTATACAGGAGACCCCCCCCATCCCGGTGTATACAGGAGACCCCCCCCATCTCGGTGTATACAGGAGACCCCCCCCCCCATCTCGGTGTATACAGGAGACCCCCCCCCCATCCCGGTGTATACAGGAGACCCCCCCCATCTCGGTGTATTCAGGAGACCCCCTTCCCCATCCCGGTGTATACAAGAGACCCCCCCCCCCATCCTCGGTGTATACAGGAGACCCCCCCATCCCGGTGTAATACAGGAGACCCCCCCATCCCCGGTGTATACAGGAGACCCCCCCCATCCCGGTGTATACAGGAGACCCCCCCATCCCGGTGTATACAGGAGACCCCCCCATCTCCGGTGTATACAGGAGACCCCCCCCATCCCGGTGTATACAGGAGACCCCCCCCATCTCGGTGTATACAGGAGACCCCCCCCCCATCTCGGTGTATACAGGAGACCCCCCCCATCCCGGTGTATACAGGAGACCCCCCCCATCTCGGTGTATTTTGCAGGAGACCCCCTTCCCCATCCCGGTGTATACAAGAGACCCCCCCCCCCATCTCGGTGTATACAGGAGACCCCCCCCCCATCCCGGTGTATACAGGAGACCCCCCCCCCCCATCCCGGTGTATACAGGAGACCCCCCCCCATCCCGGTGTATACAGGAGACCCCCCCCCCCATCCCCGGTTGTATACAGGAGACCCCCCCATCCCGGTGTATACAGGAGACCCCCCCCATCCCGGTGTATACAGGAGACCCCCCCCATCCGGTGTATACAGGAGACCTCCCCCCCCCCATCTCGGTGTATACAGGAGACCCCCCCCATCCCGGTGTATACAGGAGACCCCCCCCATCTCAGTGTATACAGGAGACCCCCCCCCCATCTCGGTGTATACAGGAGACCCCCCCCCCCATCCCGGTGTATACAGGAGACCCCCCCCATCTCGGTGTATTCAGAGGAGACCCCCTTCCCCATCCCGGTGTATACAGAGGACCCCCCCCCCATCCTCGGTGTATACAGGAGACCCCCCCCCATCTCGGTGTATACAGGAGACCCTCCCCCCCCCCCCCATCTCGGTGTATACAGGAGACCCCCCCCCATCTCGGTGTATACAGGAGACCCCCCCCCATCCCCGGTGTATACAGGAGACCCCCCCCATCCCGGTGTATACAGGAGACCCCCCCCCATCCCGGTGTATACAGGAGACCCCCCCCCATCTCGGTGTATACAGGAGACCCCCCCCCCATCCCGGTGTATACAGGAGACCCCCCCCATCCCGGTGTATACAGGAGACCCCCCCCATCTCGGTGTATACAGGAGACCCCCCCCCATCTCGGTGTATACAGGAGACCCCCCCCCATCCCGGTGTATACAGGAGACCCCCCCCCCATCCCGGTGTATACAGGAGACCCCCCCCCATCCCGGTGTATACAGGAGACCCCCCCCCCCCCCATCCCGGTGTATACAGGAGACCCCCCCCATCTCGGTGTATACAGGAGAGACCCCCCCCATCATCGGTGTATACAGGGACCCCCCCCCATCCCGGTGTATACAGGAGACCCCCCCCCATCCCGGTGTATACAGGAGACCCCCCCCATCCCGGTGTATACAGGAGACCCCCCCCCCCATCCCGGTGTATACAGGAGACCCCCCCCCATCTCGGTGTATACAGGAGACCCCCCCCCCATCTCGGTGTATACAGGACCCCCCCCCATCTTGGTGTATACAGGAGACCCCCCCCCATCTCGGTGTATACAGGAGACCCCCCCCATCTCGGTGTATACAGGAGACCCCCCCCCCATCCCGGTGTATACAGGAGACCCCCCCCCCATCTCGGTGTATACAGGAGACCCCCCCCCCCATCCCGGTGTATACAGGAGACCCCCCCCCCATCTCGGTGTATACAGGAGACCCCCCCCATCTCGGTGTATACAGGAGACCCCCCCATCCCGGTGTATACAGGAGACCCCCCCATCCCCGGTGTATACAGGAGACCCCCCCCCCATCCCGGTGTATACAGGAGACCCCCCCCCCATCCCGGTGTATACAGGAGACCCCCCCATCTCGGTGTATACAGGAGACCCCCCCCATCTCGTGTGTATACAGGAGACCCCCCCATCTCGGTGTATATAGGAGACCCCCCCCATCTCGGTGTATACAGGAGACCCCCCCCCCCCCCCATCTCGGTGTATACAGGAGACCCCCCCCCCATCCCGGTGTATACAGGAGACCCCCCCCATCCCGGTGTATATACAGAACCCCGCGGCGTGGTGCAGGTATGGGGGGGACACGGCTGCACTGACACGTCTCCCTCTGCAGGTGGTTGCAGGAAGTGTTCGATGTCCCGTTGGTGGTGCAGATGACGGACGATGAGAAGTATCTGTGGAAGGATCTGACCATCGAGGAGACGTACCAATACACCCTGGAGAACGCCAGAGATATCATCGCCTGCGGCTTCGACGTCAACAAGACCTTCATCTTCTCCGACCTGGAGTATATGGGGTGAGTGTCATGGCTCCTCCCCCCGGTCTGTAGCAGGTGTCGCGGCTCCTCCCCCCCGGTCTGTAGCAGGTGTCGCGGCTCCTCCCCCCGGTCTGTAGCAGGTGTCGCGGCTCCCTCCCCCCCCGGTCTGTAGCAGGTGTCGCGGCTCCTCCCCCCGGTCTGTAGCAGGTGTCGCGGCTCCTCCCCCCGGTCTGTAGCAGGTGTCGCGGCTCCTCCCCCCGGTCTGTAGCAGGTGTCGCGGCTCCTCCCCCCGGTCTGTAGCAGGTGTCGCGGCTCCTCCCCCCGGTCTGTAGCAGGTGTCGCGGCTCCTCCCCCCGGTCTGTAGCAGGTGTCGCGGCTCCTCCCCCCCGGTCTGTAGCAGGTGTCGCGGCTCCTCCCCCCGGTCTGTAGCAGGTGTCGCGGCTCCTCCCCCCGGTCTGTAGCAGGTGTCGCGGCTCCTCCCCCCGGTCTGTAGCAGGTGTCGCGGCTCCTCCCCCCGGTCTGTAGCAGGTGTCGCGGCTCCTCCCCCCCGGTCTGTAGCAGGTGTCCGCGGCTCCTCCCCCCGGTCTGTAGCAGGTGTCGCGGCTCCTCCCCCCGGTCTGTAGCAGGTGTCGCGGCTCCTCCCCCCGGTCTGTAGCAGGTGTCGCGGCTCCTCCCCCCGGTCTGTAGCAGGTGTCGCGGCTCCTCCCCCCGGTCTGAACATTTTCTGAATTCTGGGCAGACATAGAAGGCACAGGAATGCAGCTCTGGATCCATTCATGTATCATACAATCTGTGTGTCATATACAAGTGGTGTGACCTGGTATCAGTCTCTTCCATTCCTGTACAGCAGAGCTCAGACTGGGAGAGGGAGAAGCAGTACAATCAGTCCATGCGCTGAGAAGAAGCGTGCTGATTGGAGGGGAGATCAGAGTGACAGAGGAGCTCATCACTGTGCTGCTTCTCCTGCTCTAGAGTGATAGTACGGCTCACTTTGATTATTTTTTCTATATTGGACCAGCACAGTGGGGGGCGGTAGAAGCACCACTTCCTGCAGGGAGGGGCGGGGTAGAAGCACCACTTCCTGCAGGGAGGGGCGGTAGAAGCACCACTTCCTGCAGGGAGGGGCGGTAGAAGCACCACTTCCTGCTGGGAGGGGGCGGTAGAAGCACCACACTTCCTGCAGGGAGGGGGCGGTAGAAGCACCACTTCCTGCAGGGAGGGGCGGTAGAAGCACCACTTCCTGCAGGGAGGGGCGGTAGAAGCACCACTTCCTGCAGGAACCAGAATGTGAAGAAGTCCTGGAAGTGGCCCCCTCCCTGCTCTGTGCCTCCCACTGCAAGTCCAGCGGGTGTCCCCATTATATCTGCAGTTCTCTCGGATGTCCAGCGGGTGTCCCCATTATATCTGCAGTTCTCCCGGATGTCCAGCGGGTGTCCCCATTATATCTGCAGTTCTCCCGGATGTCCAGCGGGTGTCCCCATTATATCTGCAGTTCTCCCGGATGTCCAGCGGGTGTCCCCATTATATCTGCAGTTCTCCCGGATGTCCAGCGGGTGTCCCCATTATATCTGCAGTTCTCCCGGATGTCCAGCGGGTGTCCCCATTATATCTGCAGTTCTCCTGGATGTCCAGCGGGTGTCCCCATTATATCTGCAGTTCTCCCGGATGTCCAGCGGGTGTCCCCATTATATCTGCAGTTCTCCCGGATGTCCAGCGGGTGTCCCCATTATATCTGCAGTTCTCCCGGATGTCCAGCGGGTGTCCCCATTATATCTGCAGTTCTCCCCGGATGTCCAGCGGGTGTCCCCATTATATCTGCAGTTCTCCCGGATGTCCAGCGGGTGTCCCCATTATATCTGCAGTTCTCCCGGATGTCCAGCGGTGTGTCCCCATTATATCTGCAGTTCTCCCGGATGTCCAGCGGGTGTCCCCATTATATCTGCAGTTCTCTCGGATGTCCAGCGGGTGTCCCCATTATATCTGCAGTTCTCCGGATGTCCAGCGGGTGTCCCCATTATATCTGCAGTTCTCTCGGATGTCCAGAGGGTGTCCCCCATTATATCTGCAGTTCTCTCGGATGTCCAGCGGGTGTCCCCATTATATCTGCAGTTCTCCCGGATGTCCAGCGGGTGTCCCCATTATATCTGCAGTGAGGGGTCAGCTGACTATGGGGTCCCGCATGCGATAACTCAGTCATGTGACTCATTTGCATAACTTATCGGATGAGATGACAGAAGTAGAATATTGAATGTGAGAAATGAGAGAGATGGCGGGATCATAGAGATGTACAGAATACCGAGGGGGGGGGGGGGGTGTGTCGGGGCAAGGAGGGGATCTCGGGACTCCTCCCCCCAGGTGTGTACACCCCCATATCTCCAGACTCCTCCCCCCGAATCTCAGGACTACTCCCCCAGGTGTGTACACCCCCCCGTATCTCAGGACTCCTCCCCCAGGTGTGTACATCCTCCGTATTGGGACTCCTCCCCCAGGTGTGTACATCCCCCCTGATCTCAGGACTCCTCCCCCCAGGTGTGTATATCTCAGGACTCCTCCCCCCCCCCGGCACATTGCCCCATGCAGAAGCTGGTGGGAATTGTGGCCCCGCGTCACATTGGATGTGTAGAGATGACACCATCAGTGACACCTCCTCCATAGGCACAGTGCAGGGAGTGAGTGTAGTCACCCCGGGACAGGAAGTGACCGCTGACTCCCGCCCCCAGGTGTGTAATGGTTTTGTTCTCTCGGAAGGTCGAGTCGCGGATTCTACAAGAACGTGGTCCAGGTCCAGAAACACGTCACCTTCAACCAGGTCAAAGGGATCTTCGGCTTCACAGACAGCGATTGTATCGGTAAGATGGCCCCGGGGGGGGGGGGGGGGCAGGACGTTGTCCAATGACAGGCTCCGTATGACAATAGGGGCGGGGTCATGTATCGGTAAGATGGCCCCAACCGTGCGGGGGGGGGGGGGGGCAGGACGTTGTCCAATGACAGGCTCCGTATGACAATAGGGGCGGGGTCATGTATCGGTAAGATGGCCCCCGGGGGGGGGGGCAGGACGTCATCCAATGACAGGCTCCGTATGACAATAGGGGCGGGGTCATGTATCGGTAAGATGGCCCCCGGGGGGGGGGGCCGGGGATGTCATCCAATGACAGGCTCCGTATGACAATAGGGGCGGGGACATATATCGGTAAGATGGCCTTCTGGGGGGGGCAGGACGTCATCCAATGACAGGCTCCGTATGACAATAGGGGCGGGGTCATGTATCGGTAAGATGGCCCCCGGGGGGGGGGGGGGGGCGGGATGTCATCCAATGACAGGCTCCGTATGACAATAGGGGCGGGGACATATATCGGTAAGATGGCCTTCGGGGGGGGGTTGTCCAATGACAGGCTCCGTATGACAATAGGGGCGGGGTCATGTATCGGTAAGATGGCCCCCGGGGGGGGGGGGCGCGGGATGTCATACCAATGACAGGCTCCGTATGACAATAGGGGCGGGGACATATATCGGTAAGATGTCCTTCGGGGGGGGGGTTGTCCAATGACAGGCTCCGTATGACAATAGGGGCGGGGTCATGTATCGGTAAGATGGCCCCTGGGGGGGGCAGGACGTTGTCCAATGACAGGCTCCGTATGACAATAGGGGTGGGGTCATGTACCGGTAAGATGGCCCCTGGGTGGGGGGGCAGGACGTTGTCCAATGACAGGCTCCGTATGACAATAGGGGCGGGGACATGTATCGGTAACATGGCCTTCGGGGGGGGTTGTCCAATGACAGGCTCCGTATGACAATAGGGGCGGGGACATGTATCGGTAACATGGCCTTTTTCGGGGGGGGGGTTGTCCAATGACAGGCTCCGTATGACAATAGGGCGGGGACATGTATCGGTAAAGTGGCCTTCGGGGGGGGGGTTGTCCAATGACAGGCTCCGTATGACAATAGGGGCGGGGTCATGTATCGGTAAGATGGCCCCTGGGGGGGGGGGCATGCAGGACGTTGTCCAATGACAGGCTCCGTATGACAATAGGGGCGGGGACATAGGGAGGAGGCTGGGAAAGTGTTGTCACCGATGGAGGAGGAATGTTCCGTTCAGCAGGTTTGGTGCGACTTTCGGTGTCCCTCCCCTCCCTCCCTCCTGAAACGGCGGCTGTCTTGTCTTTTCAGGTAAAATCAGTTTTCCCCGCCATCCAGGCCGCGCCCTCCTTCAGCAGCTCCCTTCCGGAGATCTTCAACGGCAGAAAAGACATCCAGTGCCTCATTCCCTGCGCCATCGACCAGGTACAAGCCCCTCCCCCGAGGAGTCACTGCATTCATCTCCCGCACATTGCCCGGGCCATCCTCTTCCTTCCCATCCCCCGAAGAGCGGTGCCTGAGGGCCAGCCTGGGTGACAACCTGACCCTACATTAGTGGAGGAGGGGGGTGAGTGTTGTCACCCAGCGGGGGTGTTACTGGCCGGATCCCCAGCTGATTATAAAATGAAAGAAGCCTGAAGTAGAAAATGAGAGGAGCGGGTGGGGGGGCTAGGGAGCCGGCCGCATGGGGGGGTGGGGGGGGTGGGGGGGGGGGGGTGGGGTGTGGGTGCAGGGAGCCGGTTGCCTGGTGATGGGGGGTGGGTGCAGGGGGGTGTGGGGAGTCGTGGGGGGTGGGGGGTGCGAGGAGCCGTTGCCTAGTGAGGGGGGGGCGGTGGTGCAGGGAGGCGGTCGCCCCTGGTGAGGTGGAAGGGGCCGGGCATGTGGGTTGTGAGTGGGTGGGAGCGGGGGGAGGGGGGTCGCCCTGGGGGGGGGGGGGGGGGGAGGGGGGGGGGTGTGGGGGGGGGAGGGGGGAGGGCGGTGGGGGGGTGCGAGGTGCAGGAAAAGGTGACATCGGGAACTGGGACGGGTTCAATGTGACGGGTTTCAATTTATTGTGCGATGTTCTGCAGGTTGTCATGGTTTCCTCTTCCAGGATCCGTTTTTCCGGATGACCCGAGATGTGGCCCCCCAGGATCAGCTTCCCGAAGCCGGCCTTGATGCATTCCACCTTCTTCCCCGCCCTGCAGGGGGCTCAGACCAAGATGAGCGCCAGCGATTCCGAACTTCCTCCATCTTCCTGACCGACACTGGCCAAACACATCAAGACCAAGGTACTGCGGGGGGGGGGGGAGGGGCAGGGGGGGGCTCTTCATTGGGGGAGGGGCAGAGACCAGCTAGGGGTGGAGTATAATTCTGGGTATTTCCCCATTGGGGAGGAGCAGGGACACCAATCCACAGGGAGGGGAATCTTCCCATTGTGGGAGGGGCAGACACCAACTATGGAGGAAGGGGGAATCTCATTGTGGGAGGGGCCACACGTGCTTTGTAGTGAATGATTGTTGTTGAAGTTCATTTAAAGGGGGACTCCTCTTAGAGGGCGGATTCCATTGTTCTCCGCGGTGACGGAACGCCGGGATTGTCTTCTCTTCCAGATCAATAACACGCCCTTCTCCGGGGGGAGGGACACCATCGAGGAACATCGCAAACATGGCGGCAACTTGCGAGGTGGATGTCTGTTATATGTACCTCACCTTCTTCATGGAGGACGACGAGGAGCTGGAGAAGATTCCGCCCCCAGTAGGTGAGGCCATCCATCCCTCCCTCCATTCCATCCCACATCCATCCATCCATCCCTCCCCCCATCCATCCCTCCCTCATCCATCGCCCCCTCCACCTTTCCCCCCATCCATCCATCCCACATCCCGGCTCCATCCATCCATCCATCCCACATCCCTCCATCCATCCTTCCCCACCATCCATCCATCCCTCCCCTCATACCATCCCTCCCCCATCCATCCCTCCCCCATCCATACCATCCCACACCCCATCACCCCAATCTCCAACTTCCATCCACATCCCTCCATCCCATCCATCCATCCCCCATCCATCATCCATCCATCTCACATCCATCCATCCCTCCCCCCATCCATCCATCTCACATCCCTCCATCCATCCCCCATCCATCCATCACATTCCCCCATCCATCCATCCATCCCCCATCCATCATCCATCCATCTCACATCCATCCATCCCTCCCCCATCCATCCATCCATCTCACATCCATCCATCCCACATTTATTATTATTATACAGGATTTATATGGCGGCAGAAGGTTTGCTCAGCGCTGTACCATTATAGTGGGGACAGAACATGAGACAAGACAGGAACAATACAATACACGAGGGGTGGGGGGGGGGGCCCTGAGTGGAGGCCAGTGGAGGGATTGGCAGAGGGGGGTGAAGGACACTGATTGGAGGGATTGGCAGAGAGGGGTGGAGTTGGTGGGGGGGGTGGAGGACACTGAGTGGAGGCCAGTGGAGGGATTGGCAGAGGGGGGTGGGAGGGCACTGATTGGAGGGATTTGGCAGAGGGGGATGGGTTGGGGCACTGATTGGAGGGGGAATGGGCAGAGAGGGGTGGAGGGGGGTGGAGGACACCTTGTGGATGGGGATTGGCAGAGGGGGTGGAGGGCACTGTGTGAGGCACTGGAGGGATTGGCAGATGTGGGGCGGTTGGGAGGTTGAGGTTGACTTATAAATGCAATTTAGTCCCAAACATTTAAAATTTACGACTTTTACGTAGGACATAAATCTGTTCTGAGATGTAATTCTAGTAATCTGTTGTCATTGGAATTCAGTGTCTCAGCTCTATTCTGGTGATTTGTTTGAAGTATCCCTAGTACAACTGGACAGTTAAAGATATTCTCTGTCACAATGGTTCCTCGTCTTTGTAGGTATAAAAAATCCCTACATGTCGCCCCGTCCATAAGGTCACCTGCCAGTAATGCTTTCCAATAGATTGCTGAAACTTGGGGGCCTTTCTTTGCTGCACCAGGAGGAGCGGAATTTATCATAACCTTGAGGAGCCTGAAAGATTACCTAGTGCCACCAGATGACCAGCCCATCCATCCCCATTCCCACTTTTTCCATCCCCCTATCCATCCCTGAAAGAACATCATCCAATCCAACCTATCCCTCCTTACCCCCCCCCCCCCCCCTTCTCCTCAAACTCCTCCTCCTCCCCCCCTTCTCCTCAAACTCCTCCTCCTTACCCTATCCTCCTCAAACTCCTCATCCTACCCCCCCTTCCTCCTCAAACTCCTCCTCCTCCCCCCCCTTCTCCTCAAACTCCTCCCCTCCTGCCCCCCCTTCTTCAAAATCCTCCTCCTCCTCCCCCCCTTCTCAAACTCCTCCTCCTACCCCCCCTCTCCTCCTCCCTGCTCCTCCTCCCTTTTTTTTTCCCTCAAACTCCTCCCCCCCTTCTCCTCAAACTCCTCCTCCTCCCCCCCTTCTCCTCAAACTTCTTCCTCCCCCCCCTTCTCCCCCCCCCCCCCCTCCCATCAAACTCCTCCTCTCTTCTCCCCCTTCTCCTCAAACTCCTCCTCCCCCCCCTACTCCCCCTCCTCCCCCCCCTTCCCCCCCCCCCCCCCCCCCTCATCATCATCCTCCATCATCCCCCTCCTCCCCCTCTTCCTTCACCTCCCACCAATCATAATCTACCTGCATTGCATAGAGAAGCACAGAGACCCAGTAGTGGAATGGTTTGCCTATGCATGATGGGAGAAGTTGGAATGTCGGTGGATTTCATCGTCTTTCCTTCTCTTCCAGGACTACACGAGCGGTGCGCTGCTGACGGGGGAGCTGAAGAAGATCCTGATTGAGACGCTGCAGCCGATGATCGCCGCCCTGCAGGAGAGGAGGAAGCGGGTGACAGACGAGACGGTGCGACTCTTCATGACTCCCAGGAAGTTGGACTTCCACTTCTAGAGACTTTTCACTCAAAGATTCCCCGCCGGCGGCCCAGTGATGTCATTATTCATCTGCCTGCCGACGCCCGACCGATCCGGGCGACTGAGACAGAACGCCCCGGGGCCACTCATTTCCCCTCCCCACCACCAGAGACAGTATAAATTATTCCAATAAACCTTCATGGGTGTGTGTGTGTTCCTGTGTGCGTCCGGGAAGGGGGGTGCGTCCAGAAGGGGGTGGGACACGTTCCTGTGTGCTTCCGGGAGGGGGGCGTGTTCCTGTGTGCGTCCAGGAGGGGGGCGTGTTCCTGTGTGCGTCCGGGAAGGGGGGTGCATCCAGAAGGGGGTGGGACACGTTCCTGTGTGCGTCCGGGAGGGGGCCGTGTTCCTGTGTGCGTCCGGGAGGGGGGCGTGTTCCTGTGTGCGTCCGGGAGGGGGGTGTGGTGTTCCTGTGTGCGTCTGGGAAGGGGGGTGCGTCCAGAAGGGGGTGGGACACGTTCCTGTGTGCGTCCGGGAGGGGGGTGTGGTCATGGTGTAGCGGTGGCTAGAAGAGCGTGAAATGGAGAAGCTGCGAGCCTCAGAGGGGAAGTGTGTAGTGTACCATGTGATCGCTATGACCAATCATTATATAAGCAAAGTGTTGTGATTGGCTCATCTCCTGTGATTGGCCCACAACTATCACATGGTACCTGGCCACCTGAAATCAGGGACATTTGGGGGATATCTGTACCCTCCTGACATTGGGGGGGTTGTACCGTCCTGACATTTGGGGGGGGTTGTACCGTCCTGACATTTGGGGGGGTTGTACCGTCCTGACATTTTAGGGCCTCAGGAAATGTCCGTCAGTCCATCGGGATCGATCGATTGTCAGATCTCATAGTCTGTGGACTCGATATCTTCCCTGCAGACGGAATCCTAAACCCGAATTTGGGGGATTTTCAGACAAATGATTTGAATACATTTTGGATGAAATTTATGAAAAATAATTTATTTACAAAGTTTTATGATGGAAAGTAGAAAATATTTGTTTTTCATAATCCCACCGATTTCAAGCGGTATTTGTGGGAAAACGTCACGTGGAATCGGTGTTGCATGACCGAGCAATTACCAGTTAAAGCAGTGCAGTGCTGAACAGCAATAAATGTCCGGGTCATGGGGGAGGGGGGAATCCTCTGGGGGTGATGGGGTAAATCCGACGTGTCCCGGGATGATGCCGCCGGGGATCGGGAACACCGCGTTCTGCCGCCAGCACAGGATCCGGCGTGTCGGATCTGAACCTCCGGAGATCGACTTCCTCATCTCACAATCTATGGGCTCCAGAATCAGATCCCATCCCCCACCATGAGATCCCATCCCCCACCATGTCCTGGTGGGCCCCCGTTCCTCCAGAGGCGGGATCTGTACGACGCAATGAGGACGTCTCGGCTCCATCAATGAACGAATTGCGGCTCCACCATCCACGTCGTTCCTCGCCGCGTCCAATCCTCGTCTTCCAGAATGGCGGCTGAGATCTTTCACATCGACTTTACAGCCTCAGTGGTAAACCATCGATCCCTCCCCCCCAATGGAAGTTTTTGCCCAGCCCCCCTGAAAACCACTATTCCCCCCCCCCCTCACTGGAAACCATCGCCCCCTCCCCCCCAATGGAAGTTTTTGCCCAGCCCCCCTGAAAACCACTATTCCCCCCCCCCCCAATGGAAACTACTGGCCACCCCCCCCGGCTTCTCATGTTGGGGAGGGTTGGATCCCCCTCAGGACGGCCTCGTAGGTCAGGAAGACCACCATGTTGACGGGAAACGCTCGCAGACAGTTCAGTGAGAGTCCTTTAAAGAGAACTCCGCCCCCCTCCGTCCGAACACTTTCAGTGATGCAATGGATGACCCCCCGATACTTCCGCTGGGTGACCCCATCTGCCTGGAGACGAGCTTTAATCACATCCATCGGAGTGGCGATACTCCACGCAACCACACGCCAGCGAGACCCCCAGCCAGCAGGATGCCCAGGAATTCTGCAATATAAAAGAAAAAGAGCTTACACTCTATTGGGGTATATAGGAGGCAGAAGAGCTTACACTCTATTGGGGTATATACGGGAGGATACAGGAGGCAGAAGAGCTTACACTCTATTGGGGTATACGGGAGGATACAGGAGGTAGAAGAGCTTACACTCTATTGGGGTATATAGGAGGTAGAAGAGCTTACACTCTATTGGGGTATATAGGAGGTAGAAGAGCTTACACTCTATTGGGGTATACGGGAGGATACAGGAGGTAGAAGAGCTTACACTCTATTTGGGTATACGGGAGGATAACAGGAGGTAGAAGAGCTTACACTCTATTGGGGTATACAGGAGGTAGAAGAGCTTACACTCTATTGGGGGATACAGGAGGTAGAAGAGCTTACACTCTATTGGGGTATACGGGAGGATACAGGAGGTAGAAAGAGCTTACAATCTATTGGGGTATACGGGAGGATACAGGAGGTAGAAGAGCTTACACTCTATTGGGGTATACGGGAGGAGATACAGGAGGTAGAAGAGCTTACACTCTATTGGGGTATACGGGAGGATACAGGAGGCAGAAGAGCTTACACTCTATTGGGGTTAGGAGGGGGTATATATGGGAGGGAGGTAGAAGAGCTTACACTCTATTGGGGTATATGGGAGGATACAGGAGGTAGAAGAGCTTACACTCTATTGGGGTATATAGGAGGTAGAAGAGCTTACACTCTATTGGGGTATAAGGGGGATACAGGAGGTAGAAGAGCTTACACTCTATTGGGGTATAAGGGGGATACTGGAGGCAGAAGAGCTTACACTCTATGGGGTATATAGGAGGTAGAAGAGCTTACACTCTATTGGGGTATATAGGAGGTAGAAGAGCTTACACTCTATCAGAGAGTGTGGTAGGTATACAGGAAGTGGGATGTACCCATGGGGTCTCGCTGTGATTGGTCGGATGGGGGAGGTGGAGCGCCGGCTGCACTTTTCCATCCATTCCTAATCATCAGAAAAAATTCTGACTGACAGACCCCCCCCCATAGAGACTCAGGACAATGGAAGGGGGCCTCCCCTCCCTAATTATATCACCCCCCATATGAGGGGCTCTCCTCTACTGACCCCCAATATGAGGGGTTCTCCTCTACTGACCCCCAATATGAGGGGCTCTCCTCTACTGACCCCCAATATGAGGGGCTCTCCTCTACTGACCCCCCCGATATGAGGGGCTCTGCTCCACTGACCCCCAATATGAAGGACACTCCTCCACTGACCCCCAATATGAGGGGCTCTCCTCCACTCACCCCCGATATGAGGGGCTCTCCTCCACTGACCCCCGATACGAGGGGGCTCTCCTCCACTCACCCCGATATGAGGGGGCTCTCCTCCACTGACACCCCCGATACGAGGGGCTCTCCTCCACTCACCCCCGATATGAGGGGCTCTCCTCCACTGACCCCCAATATGAAGGACACTCCTCCACTGACCCCCAATATGAGGGGCTCTCTCCTCTACTGACCCCCAATATGAGGGGCACTCCACTGACCCCCGATATGAGGGGCTCTCCTCCACTGACCCCGGATATGAGGGGCTCTCCTCCACTCAGCCCCGATATGAGGGGCTCTCTGCTCCCACTGACCCCCAATATGAGGGCTCTGCTCCACTGACCCCCAATATGAAGGACACTCCTCCACTGACCCCCCAATATGAGGGGCTCTCCTCTACTGACCCCCAATATGAGGGGCACTCCACTGACCCCCGATATGAGGGACTCTCCTCCACTCAGCCCCGATATGAGGGGCTCTGCTCCACTGACCCCCAATATGAGAAACACTCCTCCACTGACCCCCAATATGAGGGGCTCTCCTCCACTGACCCCCGATATTAGGGGCTCTCCTCTACTGACCCCCGATATGAGGGGCTCTCCACTGACCCCCAATATGAGGGGCACTCCTCCACTGACCCCCGATATGAGGGGCACTCCACTGACCCCCGATATATGAGGGGCTCTCCTCTACTGACCCCCAATATGAGGGGCACTCCTCCACTGACCCCCGATATGAGGGGCTCTCCTCCACTGACCCCCGATACGAGGGGCTCTCCTCCACTCACCCCCGATATGAGGGGCTCTCCTCCACTGACCCCCGATACGAGGGGCTCTCCTCCACTCACCCCCGATATGAGGGGCTCTCCTCCACTGACCCCCAATATGAAGGACACTCCTCCACTGACCCCCAATATGAGGGGCTCTCCTCTACTGACCCCCAATATGAGGGGCACTCCACTGACCCCCGATATGAGGGGCTCTCCTCTACTGACCCCCAATATGAGGGGCACTCCTCCACTGACCCCCGATATGAGGGGCTCTCCTCTACTGACCCCCGATATGAGGGGCACTCCACTGACCCCCGATATGAGGGGCACTCCTCCACTGACCCCCCGATATGAGGGGCACTCCACTGACCCCGATATGAGGGGCTCTCCTCTACTGACCACCCCAATATGAGGGGCACTCCTCCACTGACCCCCGATATGAGGGGCTCTCCTCTACTGACTGACCCCGATATGAAGGGCTCTCCTCCACTGACCCCCAATATGACGGGCTCTCCTCCACTGACCCCCAATATGAGGGACACTCCTCCACTGACCCCCGATATGAGGGGCTCGCCTCCACTGACCCCCAATATGAGGGGGGGCACTCCTCCATTGACCCCCGATATGAGGGGCTCTCCTCCACTGACCCCCAATATGAGGGGCTCTCCTCCACTGACCCCCGATATGAGGGGCTCTCCTCTACTGACCCCCGATATGAGGGGCTCTCCACTGACCCCCAATATGAGGGGCACTCCTCCACTGACCCCCAATATGAGAAACACTCCTCCACTGACCCCCAATATGAGGGGCTCTCCTCCACTGACCCCCGATATTAGGGGCTCTCTCCTCTACTGACCCCCCGATATGAGGGGCTCTCCACTGACCCCCAATATGAGGGGCACTCCTCCACTGACCCCCGATATGAGGGGCACTCCACTGACCCCCGATATGAGGGGCTCTCCTCTACTGACCCCCAATATGAGGGGCACTCCTCCACTGACCCCCGATATGAGGGGCTCTCCTCTACTGACCCCCGATATGAAATGCTCTCCTCCACTGACCCCCAATATGACGGGCTCTCCTCCACTGACCCCCAATATGAGGGACACTCCTCCACTGACCCCCGATATGAGGGGCTCGCCTCCACTGACCCCCAATATGAGGGGCACTCCTCCACTGACCCCCGATATGAGGGGCTCTCCTCCACTGACCCCCAATATGAGGGGCTCTCCTCCACTGACCCCCAATATGAGGGACACTCCTCCACTGACCCCCGATATGAGGGGCTCTCCTCCACTGACCCCCGATATGAGGGGCTCTCCTCTACTGACCCCCGATATGAGGGGCTCTCCACTGACCCCCAATATGAGGGGCACTCCTCCACTGACCCCCGATATGAGGGGCACTCCACTGACCCCCGATATGAGGGGCTCTCCTCTACTGACCCCCAATATGAGGGGCACTCCTCCACTGACCCCCGATATGAGGGGCTCTCCTCCACTGACCCCCGATATGAAGGGCTCTCCTCCACTGACCCCCAATATGAGGGGCTCTCCACTGACCCCCAATATGAGGGACACTCCTCCACTGACCCCCGATATGAGGGGCTCTCGCCTCCACTGACCCCCAATATGAGGGGCACTCCTCTACTGACCCCCAATATGAGGGGCACTCCACTGACCCCCGATATGAGGGACTCTCCTCCACTCAGCCCCGATATGAGGGGCTCTGCTCCACTGACCCCCAATATGAGAAACACTCCTCCACTGACCCCCAATATGAGGGGCTCTCCTCCACTGACCCCCGATATTAGGGGCTCTCCTCTACTGACCCCCGATATGAGGGGCTCTCCACTGACCCCCAATATGAGGGGCACTCCTCCACTGACCCCCGATATGAGGGGCACTCCACTGACCCCCGATATGAGGGGCTCTCCTCTACTGACCCCCAATATGAGGGCACTCCTCCCACTGACCCCCGATATGAGGGGCTCTCCTCCACTGACCCCCGATACGAGGGGCTCTCCTCCACTCACCCCCGATATGAGGGGGCTCTCCTCCACTGACCCCCGATACGAGGGGCTCTCCTCCACTCACCCCCGATATGAGGGGCTCTCTCCTCCACTGACCCCCAATATGAAGGACACTCCTCCACTGACCCCCAATATGAGGGGCTCTCCTCTACTGACCCCCAATATGAGGGGCACTCCACTGACCCCCGATATGAGGGGCTCTCCTCCTCTACTGACCCCCAATATGAGGGGCACTCCTCCACTGACCCCCGATATGAGGGGCTACTCCTCTACTGACCCCCCGATATGAGGGGCACTCACTCCACTGACCCCCGATATGAGGGGCACTCCTCCACTGACCCCCGATATGAGGGGCACTCCACTGACCCCCGATATGAGGGGCTCTCCTCTACTGACCCCCAATATGAGGGGCACTCCTCCACTGACCCCCGATATGAGGGGCTCTCCTCTACTGACCCCCGATATGAAGGGCTCTCCTCCACTGACCCCCAATATGACGGGCTCTCCTCCACTGACCCCCAATATGAGGGACACTCCTCCACTGACCCCCGATATGAGGGGCTCGCCTCCACTGACCCCCAATATGAGGGGCACTCCTCCATTGACCCCCGATATGAGGGGCTCTCCTCCACTGACCCCCAATATGAGGGGCTCTCCTCCACTGACCCCCGATATGAGGGGCTCTCCTCTACTGACCCCCGATATGAGGGGCTCTCCACTGACCCCCAATATGAGGGGCACTCCTCCACTGACCCCCAATATGAGAAACACTCCTCCACTGACCCCCAATATGAGGGGCTCTCCTCCACTGACCCCCCGATATTAGGGGCTCTCCTCTACTACTGACCCCCGATATGAGGGGCTCTCCACTGACCCCCAATATGAGGGGCACTCCTCCACTGACCCCCGATATGAGGGGCACTCCACTGACCCCCGATATGAGGGGCTCTCCTCTACTGACCCCCAATATGAGGGGCACTCCTCCACTGACCCCCGATATGAGGGGCTCTCCTCTACTGACCCCCGATATGAAATGCTCTCCTCCACTGACCCCCAATATGACGGGCTCTCCTCCACTGACCCCAATATGAGGGACACTCCTCCACTGACCCCCGATATGAGGGGCTCGCCTCCACTGACCCCCAATATGAGGGGCACTCCTCCACTGACCCCCGATATGAGGGGCTCTCCTCCACTGACCCCCAATATGAGGGGCTCTCCTCCACTGACCCCCAATATGAGGGACACTCCTCCACTGACCCCCGATATGAGGGGCTCTCCTCCACTGACCCCCGATATGAGGGGCTCTCCTCTACTGACCCCCGATATGAGGGGCTCTCCACTGACCCCCAATATGAGGGGCACTCCTCCACTGACCCCCGATATGAGGGGCACTCCACTGACCCCCCCGATATGAGGGGCTCTCCTCTACTGACCCCCAATATGAGGGGCACTCCTCCACTGACCCCCGATATGAGGGGCTCTCCTCCACTGACCCCCGATATGAAGGGCTCTCCTCCACTGACCCCCAATATGAGGGGCTCTCCACTGACCCCCAATATGAGGGACACTCCTCCACTGACCCCCGATATGAGGGGCTCGCCTCCACTGACCCCCAATATGAGGGGCACTCCTCCACTGACCCCAGATATGAGGGGCTCTCCTCCACTGACCCCCGATATGAGGGGCTCTCTCCTCCACTGACACCCCCAATATGAGGGACACTCCTCCACTGACCCCCGATATGAGGGGCTCGCCTCCACTGACCCCCAATATGAGGGGCACTCCTCCACTGACCCCCCGATATGAAGGGCTCTCCTCCACTGACCCCCAATATGAGGGACACTCCTCCACTGACCCCCGATATGAGGGGCTCGCCTCCACTGACCCCCAATATGAGGGGCACTCCTCCACTGACCCCCAATATGAGGGGCTCTCCTCCACTGACCCCCGATACGAGGGGCACTCCTCCACTGACCCCCCGATATGAAGGGCTCTCCTCCACTGACCCCCAATATGAGGGGCACTCCTCCACTGACCCCCCGATATGAAGGGCTCTCCTCCACTGACCCCCAATATGAGGGGCACTCCTCCACTGACCCCCCGATATGAAGGGCTCTCCTCCACTGACCCCCAATATGAGGGGCTCTCCTCCACTGACCCTCAATATGAGGGACACTCCTCCACTGACCCCCGATATGAGGGGCTCTCCACTGACCCCCAATATGAGGGGCTCTCCTCCGCTGACCCCCGATATGAGGGGCTCTCCACCGACCCCCAATATGAGGGGCTCTCCACTGACCCCCAATATGAGGGGCTCTCCTCCACTGACCCCCGATATTAGGGGCCGATGTGGGGTGACTCGCTGGGCAGAATGGAAACATTTTGTTGTGTTTTTACTACTTTTTTGGTGAATGAATCGGGGTACAGTGAGCCCCAAACTCATTCACATGGGGGGGGGGGGGGGGGGGGGTAGGAATATGGGGGCTACCAAATTCCAATAAGCCACCTCCCCTGCAGGCCCTTATCCTCATCAACATGGAGACAAGGGGGAGGGAGCTCCCCCCTCTACCCCAAAGCACCCCCCATTTTGAGGGCATGTGGCCTAGTATGGTTCGGGGGGAAGGGCCTCAGCCACTCGTTCCCCCCCCTTTCCTGGCCTGTCGGGCTCCATGTTTGGATAAAGATCTGCCATGGATGGGGGGCCACGCTGGTTTTTCTGTCAATGGGGCCCCATTGGTTGTTAGGGACACAGTGGGTGGCTTCTCAGCCCCGCCCCTTAACAACCCAGAATTCGGATCGGTCTGTTACTATCGTTATTCAGAATCTCTGAATGTCTGAATTTGGATTCCTCGGGGGCGGGGCGATGTACCGGAGCCATCCTGCTGGGGTGGGAGGAGCCATTCGCGGAAGGCGGAGTAACACAGGAAGTAGGTGGCGAAGGAGTGACAGTCGCGGAACATCAGAGCGAAGCTTCCTCTATACAACCCGCAGAGCCCCTCCTCCCGGGCGATGGTCAGCAGGCAGTGCACCGGTCCCGTGTATCTGGGCGGAGCCAGGACAGCGCAGGGGCCGGAATGTTGGGGCCACATCTGTGTCTGGAGGCGGACCTTCGCCACGTCAGCCGGAGACGACACCAACACCTGCCGAGAGCAAAGAAACTCCGCCTTCATTCCAGATCTCCCCATAGATGGGCCGGTCCTACACCCCTCCCCCCACGGGGCCGGTCCTACACCCCTCCCCCACGGGGCCAGTCCTACACCCCTCCCCCACACAGGCCGGTCCTACACCCCTCCCCCACGGGGCCGGTCCTACACCCCTCACCCACGGGGCCGGTCCTACGCCCCTCCCCCACATGGGCCGGACCTACGCCCGTCCCCCACGGGGCCGGTCCTACGCCCCTCCCCCACACGGGCCGGTCCTACGCCCCTCCCCCACACGGGCCGGTCCTACACCCCTCCCCCACACGGGCCGGTCCTACACCCCTCCCCCACGGGGGCCCGGTCCTACACCCCTCCCCCACACGGGCCGGTCCTACACCCCTCCCCCCACGGGGCCGGTCCTACACCCCTCACCCACAGATACCGGTCCTACGCCCCTCCCCCACACGGGCCGGTCCTACAACCCTCCCCCACGGGGCCGGTCCTACACCCCTCCCCCACGAGGCTGGTCCTACACCCCTCCCCCACACGGGCCGGTCCTACACCCCTCCCCCACAGATACCGGTCCTACGCCCCTCCCCCTGAATACTGAGCGGTACCTGCGCTCCTCCTGCCACGTATCCTGAGAGGAAGATGTCCACCTTGGTGGGTCTGACATTTGCTGTCCCATATTTCAGCTCACAGAGGCGGTGAAGACAATTCCTGTACGCCCCGAAAACGATGGCGGAACTGAGGGAGACGGTGGAGATGGGCATGGACATTCCTCGGAAAAAGCCAGAAACCTGGAGGGGGAGGGGCACAGGGGGAGGGGAACAAGGGGAAGGGGCACAGGGGGGAGGGGAACAAGGGGAAGGGGCACAGGGGGGAGGGGAACAAGGGGGAGGGACATAGGGGGAGGGGAAGGGGCACAGGGGGGCATCGTTACTAAGACATCACAAAACCAAATATAACCTGATAAGTGTGTGCTGATTGCGTCACTGCCCCCCCCCCCCCACCCCCACCATGGGGGAATGTACCAATGTACAGCGGGGGAGGGTCTATTCATGGGAAGGAGGGCACTGCCATGGGGGAATGTACCAATGTACAGAGGGGGAGGGTCTATTCATGGGAAGGAGGGCACTGCCATGGGGGAATGTACCAATGTACAGAGGGGGGAGGGTCTATTCATGGGAAGGAGGGCACTGCCATGGAGGAATGTACCAATGTACAGCGGGGGAGGGTCTATTCATGGGAAGGAGGGCACTGCCATGGAGGAATGTACCAATGTACAGCGGGGGAGGGTCTATTCATGGGAAGGAGAGCACTGCCATGGGGGAATGTACCAATGTACAGCGGGGGAGGGTCTATTCATGGGAAGGAGGGCACTGCCATGGGGGAATGTACCAATGTACAGCGGGGGAGGGTCTATTCATGGGAAGGAGGGCACTGCCATGGGGGGAATGTACCAATGTACAGCGGGGGAGGGTCTATTCATGGGAAGGAGGGCACTGCCATGGGGGAATGTACCAATGTACAGCGGGGGAGGGTCTGTTCATGGGAAGGAGGGCACTGCCATGGGGGAATGTACCAATGTACAGCGGGGGAGGGTCTGTTCATGGGAAGGAGGGCACTGCCATGGAGGAATGTACCAATGTACAGCGGGGGGAGGGTCTGTTCATGGGAAGGAGGGCACTGCCATGGAGGAATGTACCAATGTACAGCGGGGGAGGGTCTATTCATGGGAAGGAGGGCACTGCCATGGGGGAATGTACCAATGTACAGCGGGGGAGGGTCTGTTCATGGGAAGGAGGGCACTGGCATGGAGGACATGTACCAATGTACAGCGGGGGAGGGTCCATACGTGGGATTCCCCAGGACATGTATCGGAGTACAATATTCCCCTGTAGGGGCCCCGGGGGGGACGGAGATCATACAATGTTGCCACGTCTTACTTTCTCCGCTGTATAAGTTGAATGGATACAATGCCAGATCCCCCGGTACTGTCCCTGAGTCTGGATCCGGACCTGGGGGGGGGGAGATACATTGTGATGTATACAGTGCAGTATATACCATATATACACTATGTGCCCCAAGTATTGTCCCCGCCCCCCTGATCATGTGATTCAGGTGTTCCAATCCCCTCCATATCATGTGATTCAGGTGTTCCAATCCCCTCCCAATCATGTGATTCAGGTGTTCCAATCCCCTCCATATCATGTGATTCAGGTGTTCCAATCTCCTCCATATCATGTGATTAGGGTGTTCCAATCCATTCCATGTGATTTAGGTGCTCCAATCCCCTCCATATCATGTGATTCAGGTGCTCCAATCCCCCTCATATCATGTGATTCACGTGTTCCAATCCCCTCCATATCATGTGATTCAGGTCTTCCAATCCCCTCCATATCATGTAATTCAGGTGTTCCAATCCCCTCCATATCATGTGATTCAGGTGTTCCAATCCCCTCCCAATCATGTGATTCAGGTGTTCCAATCCCCTCCATATCATGTGATTCAGGTGTTCCAATCCCCTCCCAATCATGTGATTCAGGTGTTCCAATCCCCTCCCAATCATGTGATTCAGGTGTTCCAATCTCCTCCATATCATGTGATTCAGGTGTTCCAATCCCCTCCATATCATTTATTCAGGTGTTCCAATCCCCTCCCAATCATGTGATTCAGGTGTTCCAATCTCCTCCATATCATGTGATTCAGGTGTTCCAATCCCCTCCATATCATGTGATTCAGGTGTTCCAATCCCCTCCATATCATGTGATTCAGGTGTTCCAATCCCCTCCCAATCATGTGATTCAGGTGTTCCAATCCCCTCCATATCATGTGATTCAGGTGTTCCAATCTCCTCCATATCATGTGATTAGGGTGTTCCAATCCATTCCATGTGATTTAGGTGCTCCAATCCCCTCCATATCATGTGATTCAGGTGCTCCAATCCCCCTCATATCATGTGATTCACGTGTTCCAATCCCCTCCATATCATGTGATTCAGGTCTTCCAATCCCCTCCATATCATGTTATTCAGGTGTTCCAATCCCCTCCATATCATGTGATTCAGGTGTTCCAATCCCCTCCCAATCATGTGATTCAGGTGTTCCAATCCCCTCCATATCATGTGATTCAGGTGTTCCAATCCCCTCCCAATCATGTGATTCAGGTGTTCCAATCCCCTCCCAATCATGTGATTCAGGTGTTCCAATCTCCTCCATATCATGTGATTCAGGTGTTCCAATCCCCTCCATATCATGTGATTCAGGTGTTCCAGTCCCTTCCCAATCATGTGATTCAGGTGTTCCAATCTCCTCCATATCATGTGATTCAGGTGTTCCAATCCCCTTCATATCATGTGATTAGGGTGTTCCAATCCATTCCATGTGATTTAGGTGCTCCAATCCCCTCCATTTCATGTGATTCAGGTGCTCCAATCCCCCTCATATCATGTGATTCACGTGTTCCAATCCCCTCCATATCATGTGATTCAGGTCTTCCAATCCCCTCCATATCATGTTATTCAGGTGTTCCAATCCCCTCATATCATGTGATTCACGTGTTCCAATCCCCTCCATATCATGTGATTCAGGTCTTCCAATCCCCTCCATATCATGTTATTCAGGTGTTCCAATCCCCTCCATATCATGTGATTCAGGTGTTCCAATCCCCTCCCAATCATGTGATTCAGGTGTTCCAATCCCCTCCATATCATGTGATTCAGGTGTTCCAATCCCCTCCATATCATGTGATTAAGGTGTTCCAATCCCCTCCATATCATGTGATCCAGGTGTTCCAATCCCCTCCATATCATGTGATTCAGGTGTTTCAATCCCCTCCCAATCATGTGATTCAGGTGTTCCAATCCCCTCCCAATCATGTGATTCAGGTGTTCCAATCCCCTCCATATCATGTGATTCAGGTGTTCCAATCCCCTCCCAATCATGTGATTCAGGTGTTCCAATCCCCTCCATATCATGTGATTCAGGTGTTCCAATCCCCTCCATATCATGTGATTCAGGTGTTCCAATCCCCTCCATATCATGTGATTCAGGTGTTCCAATCCCCTCCCAATCATGTGATTCAGGTGTTCCAATCCCCTCCCAATCATGTGATTCAGGTGTTCCAATCCCCTCCCAATCATGTGATTTAGGTGTTCCAATCCCCTCCATATCATGTGATTCAGGTGCTCCAATCCCCTCCATATCATGTGATTCAGGTGTTCCAATCCCCTCCATATCATGTGATTCAGGTGCTCCAATCCCCTCAACATCATGTGATTCAGGTGTCCCAATCCCCTCCCAGTCATGTGATTCAGGTGTTCCAATCCCCTCCATATCATGTGATTCAGGTGTTCCAATCCCCTCCATATCATGTGATTCGGGTGTCCCGATCCCCTCCATATCATGTGATCCCGGTGTTCCAATCCCCTCCATGGACTCAGGTGTATATAATCAAGCCCCTAGACATGCAGACGGCTTCTACAAACATTGGTGAAAGAATGGGTCGCTCTCAGGAGCTCAGTGACTCCAAGCGTGGTCCCGTGATAGGTGGCCACCTGGGCAATAAGTCCATCCGTGACATTTCCTGGCTACTAAATATTCCACACTCAACTGTTAGTGGGATTATAACAAAGTGGAAGCCACTGGGAACAACAGCCACTCAGCCACCAAGTGGCAGGCCACGTCACATGACAGGGCGGGGTCAGCGCATGCTGAAGCGCACAGTGCGCAGAAGTCACCAACTGTCTGCAGAGTCAATAGCTAAAGACCTCCAAACTTGGTGTGGCCTTCAGATGAGCCCAACAACAGTGTGTAGAGAGCTCCATGGAAAGGGTTTCCATGGCCGAGCAGCTGCATCCAAGCCTTCCATCACCAAGTGCAATGCAAAGCGTCGGATGCCGTGGTGTAAAGCACGCCGCCACTGGACTCTAGAGCAGCTGCATCCAAGCCTTCCATCACCAAGTGTAATACAAAGCGTCGGATGCCGTGGTGTAAAGCACGCTGCCACTGGACTCTAGAGCAGTGGGGGCGTGTTCTCTGGAGTGACCAATCACACTTCTCTGTCTGGCAATCCCATGGACGTGTCTGGGTTTGGTGGTGGCCAGGAGAACGGTACTTACCTGACTGCATTGTGCCATGTGTAAAGTTTGGTGGAGGGGGGATTATGGTGGGGGGTTGTTTTTCAGGGGTTGGGTTGGCCCCCTAGTTCCAGTGAAGGGAACTCTTAGGTAACATTTTGGACAATTTCTTGCTCCCAACTTTGTGGGAGGAGTTTGGGGATGGCCCCTTCCTGTTCCGACATGACTGCACACCAGTGCACAAAGCAAGGTCCATAAAGACATGGAGGAGCCAGTTTGGGGTGGAGGAACTTGACTGTCCTGCACAGCCCATATACATATATACCACGGGGCCACTGACTGTATACATATATACCACGGGGCCACTGACCATATACATATATACCACGGGGCCATTGACCGTATACATATATACCATGGGGCCACTGACCGTATACATATATACCACGGGGCCACTGACCGTATACATATATACCACGGGGCCATTGACCGTATACATATATACCATGGGGCCACTGACCGTATACATATATACCACGGGGCCACTGACCGCATACATATATACCACGGGGCCACTGACCGTATACATATATACCACGGGGCCACTGACCGTATACATATATACCACGGGGCCACTGACCGTATACATATATACCACGGGGCCACTGACCGTATACATATATACCACGGGGCCACTGACCGTATACATATATACCACGGGGCCACTGACCGTATACATATATACCATGGGGCCACTGACCGTATACATATATACCATGGGGCCACTGACCGTATACATATATACCACGGGGCCACTGACTGTATACATATATACCACGGGGCCACTGACCGTATACATATATACCACGGGGCCACTGACTGTATACATATATACCACGGGGCCACTGACCGTATACATGTCCCGGTATACAGACAGATAATGTCACCCTTGTCTTGTGTGGAGGGAAGGCAATCATTGGTTCCCCTCTGTCTCCTCCCACACAGTTTTCATCAGAACGGAGGATTCCCATTGGATGATTTCATCTCCCTTCCTGTACTGGCTCTGACATGTTGGTGTCACTTCTGATGTGGGGCCCCGGGGTTCCCAGCACCCCTGAAATAGGTTTTTGTGAATCAGTTGTAAAGTCTCCCAGCAGAGATCCTGCCAGGAACAGAACTTCCTGTAGAAGGATGACAACACTAAGTCCCTTGACCTTACAATTAGTGGCAGTGTTGTCACCTCCTTCAGATGGCTCTTCTGATGAACCTGATAGGCAGCCCACTGGCCAATCATGGGAGTGCTGTGGTCCCACTGCAATACATTATTGAGGGTCTGGTGTATTCTGACACCTGGTGGTAGGTCAGAGTCATTGCAACTTCTTTTTGGTATCTCCCTCTGCTCCCCCCCTGTTTAGTGCTAATTACTTCAGTCCAGCAAGTGACCACATACAGTACAGGAAATGTGTATTTGCCCCCCTGCTGATGGTGAATGTTCGCCCCTCACACAGAAACGATCGGTCTAACAATGGAATGTTGGCCCCTCACACAGAAATGATCGGTCTAACAATGGAATGTTCGCCCCTCACACAGAAATGATCGGTCTAACAATGGAATGTTCGCCCCTCACACAGAAATGATCGGTCTAACAATGGAATGTTCGCCCCTCACACAGAAATGATCGGTCTAACAATGGAATGTTCGCCCCTCATACAGAAATGATCGGTCTAACAATGGAATGTTCGCCCCTCACACAGAAATGGTCGGTCTAACAATGGAATGTTCGCCCCTCACACAGAAATGATCGGTCTAACAATGGAATGTTCGCCCCTCACACAGAAATGATCGGTCTAACAATGGAATGTTCGCCCCTCACACAGAAATGATCGGTCTAACAATGGAATGTTCGCCCCTCACACAGAAAAGATCGGTCTAACAATGGAATGTTCGCCCCTCACACAGAAATGATCGGTCTAACAATGGAATGTTCGCCCCTCACACAGAAACGATCGGTCTAACAATGGAATGTTCGCCCTCTCACACAAACGATCGGTCTAACAATGGAATGTTCTCCCCTCACACAGAAATGATCGGTCTAACAATGGAATGTTGGCCCCTCACACAGAAATGATCGGTCTAACAATGGAATGTTCGGTGTAACACTGAGAGACAGAATACAACAACAAATTCAGCAGAAATGCGTCTAACAAATGATGACGGATCTGCATGTTCATGAGGGAAAGAAGGATTTGATCCCCTTCACAAAACATGACTTAGTACTTGGTGGCCAATCCCATGTTGGCCATCACAGAGGTCAGACGTTTCCTGGAGTTGGCCCCCAGGTTCGCACACATCTCAGGAGGGATTTTGGCCCACTCCTCTTGGCAGATCCTCTCCAAGTCATTAAGGTTTGGTGGCTGACGTTTGGCAACTCGAACTTTCAGCTCCTCCACAGATTTTCCATCGGATGAAGGTGTGGAGACTGGCTAGGCCACTCCAGGACCTTAATGTGCTTCTTCTTGAGCCGCTCCTTTGTTGCCTTGGCCGTGTGTTTTGGGTCATTGTCATGCTGGAACACCCATCCACCACCCATTTTCAATGCCCTGGCTGAGGGAAGAAGGTTCTCACCCAAGATTTGAGGGTACATTGCCCCGTCCATCGTCCCTTTGATGCGGTGCAGTTGGCCTGTCCCCTTAGCAGAAAAACCCCCCCAAAGCAGAATGTTTCCACCACCATGTTTCACAGTTGGGATGGTGTTCTTGGGGTCATAGGCAGCATTCCTCCTCCTCCAAACACGGCGAGTTGAGTTGATGCCAAAGAGCTGGATTTTGGTCTCCTCTGACCACAACACTTCCCACCAGTCCTCCTCGGCATCATTCAGATGTTCAGTGGCAGACTTCAGACGGGCTGGACATGGGCTTTCTTGAGCAGAGGGACCGTGCGGGCACTGCAGGATTTCAGTCCTTGTCGGCGTAGTGTGTTACCAATTGTTTTCTTGGTGACTGTGGTCCCAGCTGCCTGGAGATCATTGACAAGATCCTCACGTGTAGTTCTGGGATGATTCCTCACTGTTCTCATGATCATTGACACTCCACGAGGTGAGATCTTGCATGGTGCACCAGACCTAGGGAGACTGACACTCGTTTTGTGTTTCTTCCATTTGTGAATGATTGCACCAACTGTTGTCACCTTCTCACCAAGCTGCTTGGCCATAGTTTGGTAGCCCAGTCCAGCCTTGTGTAGGTCTACCATCTTGTCCCTGACATCCTTGGACAGCTCTTTGGTCTTTGCCATGGTGGAGAGTTTGGAATCTGATGGTTTGATGGCTCCTGTGGACAGGTGTCTTTTATACAGGTAACACAATGAGATTAGCAGCACTCCCTTTAAGAGACTGCTTCTAATCTCAGCTTGTTACCTGTATGAGAGACACCTGGGAGCCAGAAATCCTGCTGAATGATAGGGGATCAAATCCTTCTTTCCCTCATGAACATGCAGATCCGTCATCATTTGTTAGACGCATTTCTGCTGAATTTGTTGTTGTATTCTGTCTCTCAGTGTTACCCCGAACATTCCATTGTTAGACCGATCGTTTCTGTGTGAGGGGCGAACATTCCATTGTTAGACCGATCGTTTCTGTGTGAGGGGAGAACATTCCATTGTTAGACCGATCATTTCTGTGTGAGGGGGGGAACATTCCATTGTTAGACCGATCATTTCTGTGTGAGGGGGGGAACATTCCATTGTTAGACCGATCATTTCTGTGTGAGGGGCGAACATTCCATTGTTAGACCGATCGTTTCTGTGTGAGGGGCGAACATTCCATTGTTAGACCGATCATTTCTGTGTGAGGGGCGAACATTCCATTGTTAGACCGATCGTTTCTGTGTGAGGGGGGGAACATTCCATTGTTAGTCCGATTTAGACCGATCATTTCTGTGTGAGGGGCGAACATTCCATTGTTAGACCGATCGTTTCTGTGTGAGGGGCGAACATTCCATTGTTAGACCGATCATTTCTGTGTGAGGGGCGAACATTCCATTGTTAGACCGATCGTTTCTGTGTGAGGGGCGAACATTCCATTGTTAGACCGATCATTTCTGTGTGAGGGGCGAACATTCCATTGTTAGACCGATCATTTCTGTATGAGGGGCGAACATTCCATTGTTAGACCGATCATTTCTGTGTGAGGGGGGGGACATTCCATTGTTAGACCGATCATTTCTGTGTGAGGGGGGGACATTCCATTGTTAGACCGATCATTTCTGTGTGAGGGGCGAACATTCCATTGTTAGACCGATCATTTCTGTGTGAGGGGTGAACATTCCATTGTTAGACCGATCATTTCTGTGTGAGGGGGCGAACATTCCATTGTTAGACCGATCGTTTCTGTGTGAGGGGCGAACATTCAGCATCAGGGGGGGAATACACATTTCCTGCACTGTGGAAACACAATTTTAGGAAAGTAATAATATTGTGAAGAGAAGATGAAGAATTCCCGGAAATAATAACAAACCTTGACTGTGTCCAGAGGGTATCCGACCATCACCCCACACGCCCCTGCAACAAAGACACGGCACCCCGGTCACATGGGGGGAGTACAACATACAACATACACCGACATACAACATACAACAATGTATGTATTTCCTTCTATATCGCCATCAATGTACTCCGCCCTCTACATATATATTGTACAGTCACATCAGGCCCCGCCCCCGAGGAGCGTACAGTCTAAGGGCCCAAACTCACATTCATACATACACATACAGGGCCAATTATCCTCCCAGCATGTCTTTGAAGTGTGGGAGGAAACCAGAGTACCTGGAGGAAACCCACACAGGCACAGGGAGAACATGGAAACTCAAGGCAGGTGGTGCTGTGGTTGAGATTGGAACCCGAGTACTGCCAGGAGGATATACACCATTATATACCGTCTCCGGACCGCCACACCTGTCATGTCATATTACTGCCCCCCCCCCATCACATGGAGGACACAGCCGGGCAGAGACTATAATCCGCTTCACTGCCCCTCCACCAATCACAGCACAGATTTGTACGGCCGTGCTGGGGGGAGGGGGAGGGGGCCCTTCATCCTCTGGGGGGGGAGAGATGTCACCCTTCTACAAATATCTCCCACCGCCTGAAAGTGGAACTGTCTGTGTCCCCAGAGAACTCCCAGTCCCTTCCACAATATTCTCTTCATCCATCCCTCCATCCATCCATCCCTCCAACCATCCCTCCATCCATCCATCCCTCCAACCATCCCTCCATCCATCCCTCCATCCATCCCTCCATCCATCCCTCTATCCATCCCTCCACCCATCCATCCCTCCCTCCATTCCTCCATCCATCCCTCCATCCATCCCTCCATCCATCCCTCCCTCCATCCATCCCTCCATCCATCCATCCCTCCATCCATCCCTCCAACCATCCCTCCAACCATCCCTCCATCCATCCATCCCTCCAACCATCCCTCCATCCATCCCTCTATCCATCCCTCCACCCATCCATCCCTCCCAACCATCCCTCCATCCATCCATCCATCCTCCTCCAACCATCCCTCCATCCATCCCTCTATCCATCCCTCCACCCATCCATCCCTCCCTCCATCCCTCCATCCATCCATCCCTCCATCCATCCCTCCATCCATCCCTCCCTCCATCCATCCCCTCCATCCATCCATCCCTCCATCCATCCCTCCAACCATCCCTCCATCCATCCCTCTATCCATCCCTCCATCCATCCCTCCCTCCATCCATCTCTCCCTCCATCCATCCCTCCATCCATCCGTCCCTCCCTCCATCCATCCCTTCATCCATCCATCCATCCATCCCTCCCTCCCTCCATCCTTCCCTCCCTCCATCCATCCCTTCATCCATCTCTTCATCCATCCATCCCTCCATATAGAGATGCTGCATACCTACCCCCCAGATCTATATACACGGGGCGCACCTACCCCCCCAGATCTATATACACGGGGCGCACCTACCCCCCCAGATCTATATACACGGGGCGCACCTACCCCCCCAGATCTATATACACGGGGCGTACCTACCCCACAGATCTATATACACGGGGCGTACCTACCCCCCCAGATCTATATACATGGGGCGTACCTACCCCCCCAGATCTATATACATGGGGCGTACCTACCCCCCCAGATCTATATACACGGGGCGCACCTACCCCCCAGATCTATATACATGGGGCGTACCTACCCCCCAGATCTATATACACGGGGCGCACCTACCCCCCCAGATCTATATACACGGGGCGTACCTACCCCCCAGATCTATATACACGGGGCGCACCTACCCCCCCAGATCTATATACACGGGGCGTACCTACCCCCCAGATCTATATACACGGGGCGTACCTACCCCCCCAGATCTATATACACGGGGCGCACCTACCCCCCAGATCTATATACATGGGGCGTACCTACCCCCCCAGATCTATATACACGGGGCGTACCTACCTCCCAGATCTATATACACGGGGCGTACCTACCTCCCAGATCTATATACACGGGGCGTACCTACCCCCCAGATCTATATACACGGGGCGTACCTACCCCCCAGATCTATATACACGGGGCGTACCTACCTCCCAGATCTATATACACGGGGCGTACCTACCCCCAGATCTATATACACGGGGCGTACCTACCTCCCAGATCTATATACACGGGGCGTACCTACCCCCCCAGATCTATATACACGGGGCGTACCTACCTCCCAGGGCTCCGGCGATGAAGTCGGCCATGTGTGCTCAGCTCGGTGGTGCGGGGGAGGGTGACATTGGAGGGGCAGACAATACCTCCCGGTGTATTTATATCAGCTCCCCTCCAGGAAGGAGAGACAAGGTCAGCAGAGTCAATAAATAGCCGCATTAGAGGGTCAGGTGACCAGAGTGTGACAGAGGTGACGGGGACTCTGCCCTGTGATTGGACGATGACTGCGGCCTCCTAATTCACAGACAGTACAGAGATTAGAGGGAACACAAATCATTCCATGTGAAGGGAGAGCGACCCACATCCTCCTGAACAGCAACACACAGACTGGGAGGGGGGTCCCACCACCATCCATTTCCACCCAGGGGGTCCCACCATCATCCATTCCCATCCAGGGGGTCCTACCATCATCCATTCCCACCCAGGGGGTCCCACCACCATCCATTCCCACCCAGGGGGGTCCCACCATCATCCATTCCCACCCAGGGGGTCCCACCATCATCCATTCCCACCCAGGGGGTCCCACCATCATCCATTCCACCCAGGGGGTCCCACCATCATCCATTCCCACCCAGGGGGTCCCACCATCATCCATTCCCACCCAGGGGGTCCCACCATCATCCATTCCACCCAGGGGGTCCCACCATCATCCATTCCCACTCAGGGGGTCCTACCATCATCCATTCCCATCCAGGGGGTCCCTACCATCATCCATTCCCACCCAGGGGGTCCCACCACCATCCATTCCCACCCAGGGGGTCCCACCATCATCCATTCCCACCCAGGGGGTCCTACCATCATCCATTCCCACCCAGGGGGTCCCACCAGGGGTGTCCCACCACCATCCATTCCCACCCAGAGGGTCCCACCAGGGGGTCCTACCCAGAGGGTCCCACCATCATCCATTCCCACCAAGAGGGTCCCACCAGGGGGTCCTACCCAGAGGGTCCCACCACCATCCATTCCCACCCTGAGGGTCCCACAAGGAGGGTCCTACCCAGAGGGTCCCACTCCATCCATTCCCACCCTGAGGGTCCCACCAGGGGAGGTCCTACCCAGAGGGTTCCACCACCTTCCATTCCCACCCAGAGGGTACCACCAGGGGGTCCCACCACCAACCATTCCCACCCAGAGGATCCTACAAGGGGGGTCCTACCCAGAGTGTCCCACCACCATCCATTCCCACCCAGAGGGTCCCACCAGGGGGGTCCTAACCAGAGGGTCCCACCATCATCCATTCCCACCCCGTGACCAGGGATCGCTCGCTTCACTTGGTCGATGGGTTTCAGTGACCTCCAGACATGGCAGCACCTCCGGCCCCCTCCTGGCCTCTATATTGGGGTCTCCAGAAACCCCGACCTCTGACACTCCTCCTGAGCAGAAAAGCCAGCATGCTGGAGGACCCTTCCTGTGTGTGGAAGCAGTGGTCTCTCTGCAGAAGATGACCACGCCCCCTACTCAGCCAGACCTAGAGATCTCCAATCAGCAGGAAGCTCCAGGCCCGGTTCCCTCCTGTGCAGTTTGCGTTTCTTGCGTTTGACGTTTTTGCTGCGTTTTTTTTATGCCTTTTACTTCTTTTTTCTTCCAACTTGTTGCTGGGCAGATTAAACCGCAAAACGCACCAAAAACGCAATGCGTGCAATTCTGCAGGATCTCCACTGAAGTCTACTGAACCAAAACGCACCGCAAAGCCCCCCACAAAGCCCCCCACCACAAAGCCCCCCACAAAGCCGCCCCCCACAAAGCCCCCCACAAAACGCACCACAAAGCCCCCACCACAAAGCCCACCACAAAGCGCCCCACAAAGCCCCCCACCACAAAGCCCCCCACAAAGCCCCCCACCACAAAGCGCCCCACAAAGCCCCCCACCACAAAGCGCCCCACAAAGCCCCCCACCACAAAGCCCCCCACAAAGCCCCCCACCACAAAGCGCCCCACAAAGCCCCCCACCACAAAGCCCCCACAAAGCCCCCCACAAAACGCACCACAAAGCCCCCCCCCCACCACAAAGCGCCCCACAAAGCCCCCCACCACACAAAGCCCCCCCACAAAGCGCCCCACAAAGCCCCCCACAAAACGCACCACAAAGCCCCCCACCACAAAGCCCACCACCACAAAGCCCCCCACAAAACGCACCACAAAGCCCCCCACCACAAAGCCCCCCCACAAAGCGCCCCACAAAACGCACCACAAAGCCCCCCACAAAGCCCCCCACCACAAAGCCCCCCACAAAACGCACCACAAAGCCCCCCACCAAAAAGCCCCCCACAAAGCCCCCCGGTGTGTGAGCTGAGACTTGGGTCTGACTTCCGGGTCGCTGGCCCTGCTGTGAGCCTAGGGAGTCGCTTGGATTGGGCCAATCACAGGAAGTCTTGTCTTTTTCTCAGTAGATGCAAATCATTCTCTGATTGGATGGGTGGAGATTGTGATGTCACTGTCCTTCCTCTCCCCTCCTCCAATGCTTTATGTTCATGTTTATGGAGCCAAGTGAGCCGTCAGCCAATCGGTACAGGACCTGGAAGAGGGCGAGGATCGCTGCGGTGGAAGAGGACGAGGATCGCTGCGGTGGAAGAGGGCGAGGATCTCTGCGGTGGAAGAGGGAGAGGATCGCTGCGGTGGAAGAGGGCGAGGATCGCTGCGCTGGAAGAGGGCGAGGATCACTCCGGTGGAAGAGGGCGAGGATCGCTGCGGTGGAAGAGGGCGAGGATCGCTTGTGGTGGAAAGCGGATCGCTGCGGTGGAAGAGGGCGAGGATCCTTGCGATGGAAGAGGGCGAGGATCGCTGCGGTGGAAGAGGGCGAGGATCGCTGCGCTGGAAGAGGGCGAGGATCGCTGTGGTGGAAGAGGGCGAGGATCGCTGTGGTGGAAAGCGGATCACTGCGGTGGAAGAGGGAGAGGATCGCTGTGATGGAAGAGGGCGAGGATCGCTGTGGTGGAAGAGGGCGAGGATCGCTGTGGTGGAAAGCGAATCGCTGCGGTGGAAGAGGGCGAGGATCGCTGTGGTGGAAGAGGGCGAGGATCGCTGTGGTGGAAGAGGGCGAGGATCGCTGTGATGGAAGAGGGCGAGGATCGCTGTGGTGGAAGAGGGCGAGGATCTTTGTGGTGGAAGAGGGCGAGGATCGCTGCGGTGGAAGAGGGCGAGGATCGCTGCGGTGGAAAGTGGATCGCTGTGGTGGAAGAGGGCGAGGATCGCTGTGATGGAAGAGGGCGAGGATCTCTGTGATGGAAGAGGGCGAGGATCGCTGTGGTGGAAGAGGGCGAGGATCGCTGTGGTGGAAAGCGGATCGCTGCAGTGGAAGAGGGCGAGGATCGCTGTGGTGGAAGAGGGCGAGGATCGCTGTGATGGAAGAGGGCGAGGATCGCTGTGATGGAAGAGGGCGAGGATCGCTGCGGTGGAAAAGGGCGAGGATCGCTGCGATGGAAGAGGGCGAGGATCTTTGCGGTGGAAGAGGGCGAGGATCGCTGCGGTGGAAGAGGGCGAGGATCGCTGCGGTGGAAGAGGGCGAGGATCGCTGCGGTGGAAGAGGGCGAGGATCGCTTAGGTGGAAGAGGGCGAGGATCTCTGCGGTGGAAGAGGGAGAGGATCGCTGCGGTGGAAGAGGGCGAGGATCTTTGTGGTGGAAGAGGGCGAGGATCGCTGCGATGGAAGAGGGCGAGGATCGCTGCGGTGGAAGAGGGCGAGGATCGCTGCGGTGGAAGAGGGCGAGGATCGCTGCCGTGGAAGAGGGCGAGGATCGCTGCGGTGGAAGAGGGCGAGGATCGCTTAGGTGGAAGAGGGCGAGGATCGCTGCGGTGGAAGAAGGCAAGGATCGCTGCGGTGGAAGAGGGCGAGGATCGCTGCGGTGGAAGAGGGCGAGGATCGCTGCGGTGGAAGAGGGAGAGGATCGCTGCGGTGGAAGAGGGCGAGGATCGCTTAGGTGGAAGAGGGCGAGGATCTCTGCGGTGGAAGAGGGAGAGGATCGCTGCGGTGGAAGAGGGCGAGGATCGCTGCGGTGGAAGAGGGCGAGGATCGCTGCGATGGAAGAGGGCGAGGATCGCTGCGGTGGAAGAGGGCGAGGATCGCTGCGGTGGAAGAGGGCGAGGATCGCTTAGGTGGAAGAGGGCGAGGATCTCTGCGGTGGAAGAGGGAGAGGATCGCTGCGGTGGAAGAGGGCGAGGATCGCTGCGGTGGAAGAGGGCGAGGAACGCTGCGGTGGAAGAGGGCGAGGATCGCTTAGGTGGAAGAGGGCGAGGATCTCTGCGGTGGAAGAGGGAGAGGATCGCTGCGGTGGAAGAGGGCGAGGATCGCTGCGGTGGAAGAGGGCGAGGATCGCTGCGGTGGAAGAGGGCGAGGATCGCTTAGGTGGAAGAGGGCGAGGATCTCTGCGGTGGAAGAGGGAGAGGATCGCTGCGGTGGAAGAGGGCGAGGATCGCTGCGGTGGAAGAGGGCGAGGAACGCTGCGGTGGAAGAGGGCGAGGATCGCTTAGGTGGAAGAGGGCGAGGATCTCTGCGGTGGAAGAGGGAGAGGATCGCTGCGGTGGAAGAGGGCGAGGATCGCTGCGGTGGAAGAGGGCGAGGATCGCTGCGGTGGAAGAGGGCGAGGATCGCTGCGGTGGAAGAGGGCAAGGATCTCTGCGGTGGAAGAGGGAAGAGGAGCGCTGCGGTGGTGGAAGAGGGAGAGGATCGCTGCGGTGGAAGAGGGCGAGGATCGCTTAGGTGGAAGAGGGCGAGGATCGCTTAGGTGGAAGAGGGCGAGGATCGCTGCGGTGGAAGAGGGCGAGGATCGCTGCGGTGGAAGAGGGCGAGGATCGCTTAGGTGGAAGAGGGCGAGGATCGCTGCGGTGGAAGAGGGCGAGGATCGCTGCGGTGGAAGAGGGGAGGAGGATCGCTTAGGTGGAAGAGGGCGAGGATCGCTTAGGTGGAAGAGGGCGAGGTCGGTGGGAAGAGGGCGAGGATCGCTTAGGTGGAAGAGGGCGAGGATCGCTGTGGTGGAAGAGGGCGAGGATCGCGCTTAGGTGGATCGCTTAGGTGGAAGAGGGCGAGGATCGCTGTG